ATGCACAAAATGAAGATCTTAAAATACTTGCAATCTATTTTTTAAAACATGCCCTAAGCATTTTAAAAGTTTAAATTAATTGAGCCTAAATTTTACAAGTTTAAATTAGAAAATGATTGAGCCTGAGAATACTTTTTTAGCTTTTTCAATCAGCTTTCTGCATTTCTATGGGAGCTTTCCCTATTCACAAACAAATGCCAGGGTAACACTATAGCCACAAGTTGGACGTAATGTCTATTCCTTAAAATTCTAAAAACATTTTGGAACAATGAATGGTATAGGACATCATAAATGCTGTTTGCCTAGCGCTAAAAAGGAGCCACTTAGGATTTCTAGATAAACTTGTTAGATGTGTTGAATTGCACAAGGATCTAATAATCATTTTGTAAAAAATGGTTAAACTTTAACCGTTAGCGTAAATTTTTTATTCTCAATTGAGTCGTACAGAGAGCAAAAACATTGACCCTGGTGATGATAGGAATAAATCTAACCCTTAGAGCCCTAATATTTGCAAACAAACTTGTTAAAAATGTTGAATTGCACGGAGATCCAATAATTATTTTGTAAAAAACGGTATTATTTTGGTCGAAATCTTGCTGTTCTTGCCATACAAGAAGCCTCAATATGGCTGGGAGAGCAAAAATTCAACAAAAAATTTCAATTTTCCTTATCATTGTTTTATGTGTTTATAACGCAATGTTTAGCCCTTGTTTGGAATGATAAAATAAACTTTTTCATTCAATAGGTTTATGAGAATGTTCCTTTTAACAATGGTTTCCCACTAATAAATCCTTTAACTTAGAGCTTATTCAACATGGGTGGCATTTGCATGCAGCATACTTGCAAGACTGTGTTCAATCACAATTCAAGACAACTTTTCAGTCAACGTCTGTGTTTTACTGAATCTTTTAAAGAACTGACACTATGCTGAAACTTTTAAAGATGTAACAACTGTTCACAAGACTCAAATAAAGGAAATATAAATTAATCTTACCGCAAATGCGAAAAATCTGTTTTGACATTACTGTTCATCTGACCTGTCCTGTCTTATAAACAACCAATTTTGAATTTGCCTCTCTTTGCTATTAGCTCCTTCAGCGCGGCAGCAGTCGAAAGAACTTTGATGACGAAAATCATCTCTCGATCTTGAGAATTATTTTTGAATTTTTATAAGAGCATCAAAACTCGATATGCCAAAAAATAAGAAAAATCAAAGATAAGAAAAGAAGTAAAAACGATCTTTTGGAAAATGTTTTTGCTTGTATTAACAAAACAGAGAAGATATTATCAGCTAATCAACTGCGTTTCTAAGAATGTCATGCGAAACGGTTAACTATGTAGATAGTGACCTTAGAAAAATCATTGTTGAAATAAGAACTGCGTTAAGGACACCCGAGTACCAAATTATCAAAATTGCAAACATCGTGCTTCATCAAAAATTATCTTGTCAGGCAAATTCAGAAACAACCTCAATGCAATCAAAATATTGGAAAATAAGCTTTGCAAATTCAAATGCTCGATTTGTTCAAGAGCTGCAATTTTTAAAGCATCTCATCAGTTTTTCATCATTAGTAATATTTACAAAATGGATATTTGCTCTTTAGATATAGTGACTCGTCAGTGATGTCAGTGGATATGTAATGTTTGTATGCTACGCAGAGTTCGACACTTGTTCTTGCTAGGTTTAGGTCATCTTCCTTCGTCCCAGCCAAGGGTGTTGAGCTAGTTGATGCCGAAAATTGGCAAATCTCTACTTTTGCTATTGTTTTTGGCAACATTTTGTGCAAGAACCACCCTTGTTATTTTGATAGCACTGCACCACTGGTCCAAGCGTATAATCAAATAACACGGAATCTTTCGCATATTTTGTCCACGGAAATGAATCGACTTTTCATCTCTGATGTAACACTATCAACAAAACAATGTGGACACGAATCTAAAATTCAACAAATGCCTATTCCTGGATTTCACCCAAGATAAACATAAACTTGATTGATTTCTCTTGACCCTCAATTTTTGGAACATTTAGCTCCTTGTCTCCATGGAAAGCTTCTTCCAAAACTGAATCCATCTGTTTTTCTATTAACATTAAAACTCAATTCCAATAAAACTGAAGTGTCAAAAATTTGAGAAGTGAAAATCTTTTTGGTACAGTAATTAGTATTTTGATGTTTTTCATATTTTAATATTTTTTAAATGTAAAGGATTTGATATTTTGCTGCAAGGAAATTTGTATGCATCATGGGACTTTTATATTGTGGCGCAAGACTAGTTGCAAAAGGTAAGCAAAGGCATATTCGTTGTATAGAAAACCTGATTGAATATATTAATTGCCGTTTGTGGTAGAGGGTCGAAATCATGCGATGCAATTTCTTCTGTATTAATAAGTCGTCAACATCGAATGATTTCAGTTTTAAATAGACATAAGGCTCGGTAAAATAAAAAAATTTCGCATTGGGACGAACAAAAACGACATCGATAACTCACAATAGAAACTGTAGGAATCATATCTAAGTAAAAGGCATGCTTTTCCTTCCTATCTATTGTTTGTGAAAAGAGCAATGAACAGCTTCAAAATCCTTGAACAACATGAGAAAGTTTTCAGTCTGTAAACTACTTAAGATAGACCAAAATTTATGTCAGATGTGGAACGAAAGTAAAGCGAGAGGAAGAATGGCGTTTACAATGAGTTACTTGTTTTGACGAATTGGCAGCAAATTACCAAAAGCTTTGGGGACTTTGGGGGATGTTATCGAAGACAGGTGCAAATTTTAAGGCAGCAGTCTCTTTGATAAATTCTTTACATGAATCGTTTATTTTGTTCTCTTTTAAATATATAAGCAACTTCCTTTTTACTGCTCGAAGTTCTGCTGTCATTGATATCTGAAAGTGTACAGCTATGCATTTGGAATACTTTGAATGGTTGATGCCTGGAAGCGAAGACATAAAGCATTGATATATTCCAAAACTACACTTCTTGCTCAAGCATCTTGATAACACTGGTGTCAGATACTCAGAATGGGTTTGAACGGCATAAATCAATCTAAAGTAGCCTTTGTTTTTAATGGGTTGAAATATTTAGATTCCAGGCCAACAAAAACTACTTTCATATCTTGTTTGCGTCAGTCATTAATTCCTTAATCAGTGTTATTTCTACCGTATAGGCTTTCTCGTTGCTTTTTCTAATATTCAAAGACAATAAACTTCGTACCAAAACGAACCAACTGCTGACGTTGCTCGCGATCACTGATGTTTCTGTTGGGACAGTAGTGATTCCACCTATTCAATTGGCTTATCAATCGTATCCATCCCTTACAAGATTCATGCGAGCTTCAATTGGCCCATTCGTTCTTAGCATACCTTCTATGCGGTTGGTCTGGCCAATCGGAAAAATGCAAGAACATCCGTCTGTTGGAGCTGGTCAACTCAACAATGTTGACCCATGAAATTTATGATAGGATAAGACCCACGGACTTCCAACGACACATGTTAGAGAGGGAGATAAGCAGAAGAATTGTGCAAATTGTGATACAAGCACCAAAATTTCAGAAATCAATAAGTTGATACACATGCTTTGCTATCTTCACCAGGAATTTCGCCGCAAATTCGCCTCGTGGAAATCAGCCTATAACAATGGCGGCATATAATCGTACAAATACGGCAGTTTTCTCTAACGGATCCAACGTAGTAGCAGTTCATTTTGATAAGGAACCCTTTTCGGGGGCACGCCCTAAGCCTCCTTTTCACCCCCACTTTTAGACAGGTGTGTTGTGCCTGCGGAGTCTCAATCATTGGTTGGGTCTGTTTTCATAGAAATTTGCACAGAACTTTGCCGGTGTGAATCAGCTGTAAATAGTATGTAAGGTAGGGCAATTGCAGTCGTTTCCACGTTTCCAAGCTCGATGTTTAATAAAAAACTGTTTTTCTCATTCTCTTTTTCAACTTGGACGTGATATCGTGGGAATGGGATCTGCTGTACTTAGCAAAACACTAGATAAACTACGTTCAAAACATTAAAAGCCAAATTTTGACGAGATAGGTTAGTTATTGTATCCAGGGGAGGGGGACGGGGGTTACTGTATAGGGTATATGTAGTATTGTTGATGTAGCGCTTTCTTAGTATCCCTCTTATAATGTTTAAGTATCCTTCCTGTCTTCTGACTTTCTACCCTCCAATGTGACCTTGTATGACTTCAGAATAAGCACAAAAAATGGCTTCATTAAAGTTGTAGTCCTACACAAAGATGAAGAATACTGAGAGCTCTAAGCCTAATGTCAAATGAAAATATGGTAAATTTAAAGGATGTTTTTTAAACGTTTACCCCTACAGACGCATGTTTCTTGATCGATAAGCGTGCGAAAGGTTGCAGCAATTAGTCCAAGTGACCAATTTAAAGGGTTTCAATTATCAAAGCTGCCTTTATTAAATCCTTGTTACAATCCAGACCACCTATTTCATTCAGAATTCTTCGATAGATGTTTTTCTTCGGTTGATAAATTGTTAAAAGTTCTGTTGCCTTCAACGATGACCAAGTCATTTTCAAAGATTTCTAAAGTGATGGCATCACAAAAATATGTTTTTAGAATTCTTGATCTGAAAGGCATAATTGGGTATAATATTTTAAAACGCTCTCTAAAATGTGAAAAAACAGTCAAATTTGTTGAAAATTGGCTGAGGTATAGCTAAACGAGCACAGGCCCTTTTAGTACGAGACAGGAAAGACTGTCTAAGGATAGAGTTGTTGATCAGCCGAGTGGCTTATGTCATCAAGGCTCCCTGGCCAATAACACAATGTCCACTTCTCCGACATGAACAAAAATGGAAATTGAAGCACGATTTCCCTTGCTCTGATAAAATTAAGAAAATCCACAACAGCTCTACCTACAGAATTAAGCTCATTCATTTAACTGCTGTGACAAAAACAGCTTTTGAGATAAACTGCATAGTACCTAGAATGCTAAAATTGTTTTTGAGAACAGCTGAAAAAAACTGGACAGGATTAAAATCAGAGCTTGATTTCGATTGGACACAAGCGTAATTACAACTGTGAAAGCAAAATGTGCGACAAGCAAATATGATACGATTAACTGATACAGTGAGAAAATGCTTAAAACGATATATATTCTGCATTAATTAGTCTGTTCGCTGAAAGAAACAAGCTTTTTGAGACAAATGTAGCGAGGTGCGACAGTTTGAAGGAGTAGGCGTGAGATAAGCACCACAAACTAAAGGGCAAAAATTCATCTGAAAGAGAAATTCGTCAAGCTTTTTCGTAATAAACAGACACATATGTTGACTAAATTCAAATAGTTTCAAGAAAAACAACTCTTTGGAAATAGAAAGCTTCTGTGGTGAAGAAACATGTCAGAGACCTTTTGTAGAACCCAGAAACCAAATGAATGAAAAGCAGAGGTTGCGAGAGATTTGCGCTGAAAGTGTTAACGATGTATCCGATACAACAATCTATCAAGCAGGTCTGGCGTAGGGTCGGCACGATGCACTTAAGGCGTTGCTTTCTAGCAAGTGCTCATAGAAAGCCCTCCATTTCTCTCATAAACATAGAATATACATCGTCTTTAGTAGGTTCTTCCGCAACATTTCCCGCGGGTTCTCCCTCGCTTACTTCTGTTGACGCAGTCATCTGCATAATTGATGCTTTCTTTGGCTTTTGAACTTTTTCCGTTCTTCTTACCCTCAGAGCAGTTGGGACAAGTTTGGTAACTTCTGCACGAATATTCCGAATTTGAGGTTTGGCGCTGATTGTCGTTCCGTCGCCTTGAAGGAAACACGAATAGCTCAAAATTTCCATAAAAAGATATCTGTATCATAAAATTGAGTAACATTTTAACAAGTTATATTAAGGTAACTTTTACTTTTATTATGTTTAGAAACCATTATTAAAACCACGCATACACGATTATAATTGTTCTAAGAATTTTCGCGGCCCTCCGGCAGCCTCCTCAACAAGAGTTCAAAAGAACACGAGGAGGCTGCCGGAGTGCAGCGAAAATTACGCGCCTCCAGTTTGCTTTAGATTTCTATGAAAATAAACTTATTCAATTCACTTACCTTAGCTTGTTTTGGTAGAACTCACAGAGGTGGGAAAGTAAAAATCCCACAATGCATAGCATACAAACGCAAAATGACGGCATTACACATACGACCTATTACTAAGCTTCCTAATAAAGCATTTTTTCATTATCAGTCTTCGTATTTGCAGCTTTTAAGAATATAATGGAATGTTGCGATCAATTAAATACCACCTGAAAAAGGTTGATAAAAAGCCAACGTTTAAATCTAACATGCGTCAACAGCTGCAACAAATATTCAGTCCATGGATGTTATTTAGATGTAAGCTTTAGGTAACATACCTTCTTCCAACTGTTTGCTGATTTCTGGAGGTTTGCTAAGCACAGCAGAATATGGCATCGGAGGAGGAATAAAGCCTGGGGGAGGTGGACGCATGCCCATTGGGGGAGGCATTCCTAAAGCAATAGAGATATAATGGGTTGAAAGAACTTTCAAATACTGCAAAATTTCTTAAAAAAGTATCAGAAGAGACTTTGTACAAATCTCAGCCAGTGTTCGATTCTCCTTCTCACTTAACGTCTTAATGTTTTCCAGCTATAAGAGAACCTTACTTTAATGCTCCCGAGGGTGGTCAAATTTCAAACATCTTTAACAGAATGATTCATAGGAACGTCTTTGATGGATCACTTGTAAAAAAACTAACAATGAAATCTGACAGCAAATATGTACTAAGCAATTTCCATTCATATATTAAAGGATTTTATGAAGAACTGTTAAGGAACAACAGAAAAAGTATATACCTGGCATCAAAGGCTGCGGAGGAGGAATCATACCAGGAGGAAGTCGCGGAGGAGGAACACCAGGCGGTGGGCCTATGAGGAACAAATGCATACAAAGTACAGTTGGACGCGATAGCAGCTTGATGTCTTTAAGTCTTGTTCGAACCAAAAAACAACTCGGAAAACAGGTAACAAAGCTCAAAATAGATTGAGGTTACCAGAGGGAATGTTAAATTAAGCTAATTGAGAGGATTGGAGGGTACAGGCAGTGGCGTTACAGATGCATCTGGGGGCTGAAGGGCAAAATAAGACGGGGCTCCTATTTACGAGCAGCAGGAAAGAAAAGCATGTCAAACACAATAACAAGATGTGTAAAAGATAATTTTTTTCTCGTTATATAGGTGATGCTGAGTTATAAAAGCTTCAGTTGAAAAACTTTAAAAGTTTTTGAATATGCGTTGAAATCGAGCGAAGTTTTCAAAATGTGGATGTGAATACAATTTGGGGGCTCCTTTTGGTCGGGTAGGTAATAAAAGAGAGTTCAGGGACAAGTAGTTTCTCGCAAAAAAAAAACAAAAAACAAAAAGCAATTAAATGTAGCCAAAAAGAATGCTAATACGAAAAAAAACATCGAAATTAACTTCAAACGAATAGAGTAAGTAATGACGAACTCAAGAATCGAAGGATTGAAATTCATTTCGGGTTGTTACAAAAGACCGATGATTCGTGTGCATTAGTTTAGATAATATCTATGAAAAGGAAAAATTGCTCATACCAGGTGGTCTTCCGGGTGGGGGTCCCGGCGGCATAACTCGTCCAGGCATGTTACCCAATGGAGGCCGGGGAAAGAGGTCCACACCTGGACCAGCTGAAACCCGGGGTCTTTCATCTTCTGTCTGCATCTGAAAAACAACCAGTAACTTATATTTGACTATAAAAATGTTTTCGCTTCCTCTGGTTTACTTGTTTAACTTAGCTTCCCACAGACAAAACTATGGTGAATAGACAGTTTTACGTTGTAACTCGTGGTGTCATTCCTAATACAGCCATCTCACAACTTAATACCAGAGATTGATTTTTAATCTCATATATATGTCTACGTCATCATGCGAAACCTAAAGGAAACTGCTTCAACAAGACGTATCTCGCTATACTACACTATGCAGTAGTGAATGCATCGCCTCTCGTTTTATATCCTGAAGTGACGTCACCAAAACATATTCAATAAAACAACTTACGTTATCATTGCTAGCGAGCTGGCGTAGCTTTTGCTGAACACTTTTTGCCCGACTGCTACTGCTGCTGTTTCCAACGTCCTCGTCTTCTGCCGTTGCAAAGTGCACTGATCGTTTGTTCCTAGACCGTTTTCCTACCGAAAGCAGTAGATTATTGTATACCTTTTAAAACCACAAAAAACTAGCAGGATCTGAGTATATATCTCATTATGCCGTTTCTCAAAGGATACAGCTACTGAAATTCCACTTGTTATTTAAAAGACATTCTGCTGGCGCCGTTAAAAAGACATCCCTATATACAATTGGGGCTTAATGGCTAAATGGTTAGGACACTGGTCTTCTGAGGCATTACTCCGGTTACCCTGGGTGACAGGGTCTCCATAATTTACTCTCAGTACGGAGACAATACTTTATCCCCAGTTTCTTGAGGCTCTGGTACCGAGGGTAGAGTCCCGTCAGGACTAAGAATTTAACGCTGCTCTATTGTAAATGCACCCGCTTCAGCTCACAATATGATTACGATGTGCACTCAACTTACTGAGGGCCATCATTTCAATGCGCATCAACCAAAGAAATAGCATAGAGTACAAACTCATGCGACCGAACGTAGCTACATCAGAAAGGGCACCAGTTACCTTCAGGATGCGTATCATCTTTATCAGGGTCGAATGCCATTTCAAGTGCAGCATCCCTTTCGTCATCAATGCTGTCATTGCTTGACAGATCATCGTCATCATCATCATCATCACTACTCTCATCATGATCATCATCATCCTGCAACTCGAAATCTTCATCAAAACGTGGAGGCGAGCCAGGAGGGGGTCCTGGTGGAACAAGGCCGGGGGGCAATCCTGGAATAATAGGCATATGTGATCCGCTAGGTAATCCAGGCGGTGGACCTGGAGGTAACATTCTGTGAAAAAATAGAAAATTATTGTAAAGATCTCAAGGTCAGCTGATTGATCAAGATCCCTGTTAAAAGTTATACTAAAGCAAACGAATTTTATGTTAGATAAGAGCACTACCAATATAAAAACATACCAAAATATAATAGATAAGTACACAATATGGCACCATTTAAAAGATTTTTTAATTTCTTTTTGTTTGAAATGAAACAGAAAAATTAAAAAGGTGATTCTTTTGAATAAAATCTTGAAAAGCCCCAGATTGCCCCAGATTGCACGGCAGAATACATTTGCATGCAAAGGCTGGAGTATGAAAAATGCATAATAAAACTATGGGACATTTCAATAAACATATGTTGGGTACAGTAAACTAACTTACCCTCGTTGCGCTCCCGGTATAGGTAAAGGTATATCAGCAGGCTTAATAGGGCCTACGAAAAAATAAAAATAGTTGCAACAAGTCTCAGAGAAAAATACTGTATTTAATCGACAGAATTCCCTTGGACTATGCACAGACTTAAAAATTGATTGTGTAATGGGAACCTTCCGAAACGGGGACTAATCAATTGACGATTATCCGCACCAATCGTATCCTCATGAGACCGTCTTCTCTTATTTTCTGGTTTTAATCTGTCAGCTCAATAAAGAAGTACGACATAGCTTATTCTATATCAAGTAGCGAAAATTGTAAAAACTTTATCCAAACAAATAGACAACATAAAAGTTGTCATAATAATCAATTAATATAAATATATAAATAGAAATGTTTTAACGAGACGAAGGGTTCTCAAATAGCGCTATTGCCATAGCAAGGGTGGGAAAATACTTTCCAAGGGAATGCTTTGGAAACAAAATGATTACTTTTCTGTTAGATACAGCGCATGCTCATTTGTTGTCACATAAAGTACTCTGCCTTTATGTCAAATGTGGAGGCCTATTCACATCCGACGCCCCATCTTATACGGAGATTTTGCAGCGCTGCCTGCAATCACGTTCCCGAGCAAGCTATCTTTTTAAAAAAAGGCTCTTGTAGGCACATGTAGTTTCAGTTCAAACACTTGCTCCAGATTTTCCACGAAGCTGTAAAGCGCCATTTTAATGCATTTTGCTCCCAAGCAGAGATAACCCCTGCAGCACACTGTTGTGCCTGTTTGGGCAGTCATCTAGTCATCAAATTTCGACAGTCATCTAAGTGTCAAGAATTGTTAGCTAACAGATTCTATTAACATATTTCAGAAACAGATTAAGTTCATCAGACCTGGCTGAGGTAGAGGGATCTCAGGTAAACGTATAGACGAGACATCTGTGAGTAATCTGTTTTGCTCTTCTTCTTCTGCCTGAAATCGAGCATCACGTAATTGTTTAATCAAATAATTGTTTAATCAAATGATTGTAAAGCAAATAACAGAATCATCAAATAACTGTACAATCATGACATCGTTTAATCAAATCACTTTCTCATCAAATAAATGTAACACTGATTCATTGAATCATAAAATAACTTTGATCATAATAATCATAATAAGAAACCATTATTGAATGTTTTCTTATCATAATAATCATAATAATCACCGAAAGCTACTGCATCGTCATATGAAAGTTTAATCTAATGACTGCATCATCAAATAATTTTAGAATCAAATCACCCAACAAGTCACTTTTCTCATTGAAAATGGAATGGCTCAGTTACAAGAAAAGAGAATCTGGTGATAGAAATATGACGAATATGACCCTTTGTGTAAACTATGTCAAAATCTTGAACTAAATTGATATAGACATTCCAATCTGAATCAACAAATATACTATTAATCCTTCCCTGCAAGATAAGTGCTTTTCTAAAGAATAGCAGAATGACCTGTATCACTATAATTGGTTAATAAAAGCGGTACAGATTTCTAGGCGCTATGAACTGACGGTCGAAAGTATTGCGAGAAATGCGACCGAACCGCGCAATCAGCAGTCAAGTCAAAAAATCTGCACTTTTGCTTTAGGCTTTCTGCAATAGAAACCCCTCCCATTCGATAACAAATAGTTTTAAAACAACAATTTATTCACTAGTATAAAAATATTCAAACTATCTTCGTACCTCTTTTAATCTCTTTGACTCTGCAAAAGACAAATTGATTACATCACTAGGTTTATTTACAGTATCAAGCATTGCTTTTTGGCTTCTTCTAGTTTTTACAGCAAATTTCATTGGAGTATTGTAAGTTTGCAAACTTAGGGGGAAAATGTTTTATGGTCTTTCTTTGCTTGTAGAGCAATCTAGAAAACGTGGAAATAGCAAGGATAAAGAATTCTTTAAAGGGTGAAGTAAATAAGATATAAATTGTGTTTTATGAACCTGTAATTAACCATTTCTATTTTGCAACCTACTAAAGCCTTCATCGTAGGTAATAAAGTAAGTTTTTGACATTGCCTCTGTAAAATAGGCAATAGATTGGGTGGGTGGGGTACCTCAGGCTAACAATTTTTTCGACAAAAAAGCTTGTGTGATTAGCTGGATAGGCGACGAAAGCCCGAAATGAAATTAAGGGGAACCGAGCACCCCACATGCTTGCAATAATTTCTGCCATCGTATCGAGTAAAATTTTACAATTCTTCGAGAGCTACAATGCTTGCCAAAGATATTGGTACACTACGATAAAATTTCGCAGAAGTCCAGTAGATTTCCCCTCTCCCCCTTGAAACAATGTTGAATAGCAACAGTTTCAAAGCTTGAAATTCAACCAATGTAACTCAATCAGCTAGGATAGGTAATAGGCTTTTTAACCAACATTTTTTGGGGAGAGGGGGGATATTTCTATATCTTACGGCCGGAAACTTTAAATTCGTCACAATCTTTCATTGACTGCAGGTTGTTCAAAGGACTTTTGGCAAGGATTGTAACTCATCAACGCACGGAGCACTCGATAGAAACCTCAGCTTTAGACAAGGCTTGCATCGTCCAGATTCAGTATGATTTGAAAATATGACTATTCTCTGTAACTATTTAAAAATTTACTAACATTTGTTGGGGGAAATGGAAACAAACCTGTTGCATAAACAAACAAAAAATGGAAAATAAACAGCAAAGAAAAAGAATAGTGTACTTCGAGGACATTGGCTAGCATCATTCTTCATGGACCACCGCGAAGGAGCGCAAACAATAAATTGAAAACTTACGATATGCGAAATAACTTTTTTGTCTTTCACGTTCATAATCGGCTTGAACCCTGCGAAGATTAAGTCTACATTAGAAAGCTGCTGTAGAGAAGACACAAAGAGACTGAAAAAGACAGTAACAATGAAGAAAACAGAAAAGAAACAAAAATGGTGGAAGTTAAAGTAGCAGAAGGTCAAAAGGGTAACTGGCATGCATCTAAAGCAAATTTTGGGTGTGTTGCAAAACTAGCTAGGTGTGAAACTACTGCACTGAAAATAAAGGTGCACCATCGGTGTGATAAAACTTTGGTGTGGCACAAAACGAATGAATGTTTGATGGGTGTAAAGAAAGTTTGCATTGGAAAATCTGGCTTTTTAAAAATAGGAGACGAATGCTTGGTACAGTTGTATATGATGTATGTGGTGTTTTAAATGTTGATGTAATGAGAAATGGCATACAGAAAAATTTAGCTAAGGTAAATAAAGTGAATAAGAATACAAGCCTTGAGGCTCAACAATGATTACACACCAGACAACTTTCAAGGAGCTTAAAATACCTCAAGATTCTCATTCGATACGGACAAACTGAAACTGAACTGAAAAATACAGGCTCTCATATTGATGATTCTTCTGTACCCCACCTGCCTTAATGAAAACGGTCCTTGGCAGCGTTAGAAGCTTTGCCGAGGCATTGAAGCATAAACCAACTACAATCCCGGACAAAAATGGTTGAGACTTTTCAAGGAAAGCTTATATTCCCACTTTCCTTTCAAAAATAACTCCCCCAATTTAATGTTGAATGCATGTTTTTGAAGGAGAAATGATAGAACTACATTTCCAACATTGAATCGGGGGGAAAGGGGGGATTCGAATTTACAGGGGCAAGGTAAATTAGAAAATTAGAACAATTTCATTTTTTCTCAACATTTTTGTCCGGCATTGTAGCTGCTTGCCAATAGCTGCTTGAGAACCTTGAACTGCTTAAGAAACGTGGGATTTTTTTATTTTGCAAAAACTCGTGGAAAATATTCAACATTAAAGCAGCATATTGCATTAATTCCTCAATCAACGTGAAGAGCATTGAAGCCAACATGGTCTCACAGATTTAGCTTCGTGATCACAAAAGGCGAGGGACGGTATAGACACGTGGAAATTTCGAATGAAAGAACAACACTTTTTGAAAATAATAACAGTTAATCAGAAATGTAGCACTATTGCTGAATATCTGAAAAAACGTCTATGACTGGCGATGATTCTGAAATGATGATGAACAAAATACCGCGAACAAAACAAGCTGCACTGCAAAGAGTATGTTTGACGGTGGCAATTTCTGTCACAGCCATCTTTGTTCCCACGAATCCGAAAGAAATTTAGCAAAATTCACAGAAAAACAGAGATGGCCTGAAGTGCGATTAACATTGCAAAAGAAAAAACCGAGCTGTGGTTTCTGCCTGGGCCTGTCTTGAAAAACCGAGCTGCGTTTCAAACTGGCAGCAATGTGAAAGATGTGGGGGGTCTTGTGAGCAGCACAGATACAAATCTTTGAAAGGCTAAATTATTCAAATGTTCGTTAAAATAAGCCCTTTTCACAAATTTTGTCAAAAATTGTATAGCTTTCGAAATATAACGTGTCTTTGTGTTCATAAGTCGGATGCATATCATCCTCTCTGTACCTTGTCGCATGTCATTATCCTCGAGGTTTCACTGGTTTTACTGATGCCACTGTTTTTGCTTTTAGGCTTCATATCTCTGGTGTGATAGCCTTATTTATCTTTTTACCTAGTATCTCAATCATTATATTCAACGGAAGAAAAACATCTAATAATATTAACATGATGAAACTTGTAACTGAATTGCTTCTCTAAATTCTTAAACAAATGGAAACTTGAAAAGACCACTTTTTCAGATGTGCCTACAGACGTAATTTGATCGGTTTTCCTGCGAGGTTTGTTTTACAGAAAAAATTCTTGAACTTCACTATTTGAAGAAAATGGCAAGAAAATGAGTTTTTAACACTAATATTATTCGGGTGCAGGTTAAAACGTGAAATATTGACCTAAATCTAACTTCAAGGTGCGTTTTTGTCTGATTTTTAAACTCTCATTGGCCAGTGAGTTAAACAATTTTATATCCTACGCATTATATATGCAAAAAATCTTGCAGGCACCTTTTGTAAAACAGTTTGTGCTCGCAGGCATAAAAATTATCGACACGAATTGCATCAGCTTCTAAAAGGTGACGGCAGTGGATAAGCAACGAGTGCAAAAATAATCATACAAATTCGTGAAAAAATAAGTGGATTCGATCAAAGAAATTGCTGATTTTCCCTTTGTTGAATCTAGCTTTCTTACGTCAGACACACAAGAATCCATAGCGACATGTAAATATATTTGGATTAATGTTTAATGGTGAGTTTATTTCAATAATTACGCAGAGGTTAAAAAGCCTCACTAGTGTTTCAACAGTGTGAGATTTTCACACAACCCCTAACAATGGGGACAGTTTTGAATCGTGGGAAACGTTCGACCGAGTACAACATTTGCTATATAATTTTTCACAAATGGATTAAAGTCCCGATTTTTTTAAAAAAAATAAAGTTTGTCCTTAGCACGTTTTACACTTTTTTCTGGGTGGCAATAAAAACTAGCAAAATGGGCCTAACTCTAGCACGTTTGTTGCGAAATTCTTGAACACCGATTGGTCGATGGAGAAACATGGTAGAAAGAAGTTAAATATCAAATCAGGGATATTGAACTTTTGCTCTCGTGAAACAGATAAGACTTGACCGTGAAACCGTTTTCAATAAACAAGGAATGGTTTCTTAGCAATAAGATTAACTATACCAAAATTTATCTTGCAGCATGCAATGCTATGTTTCCACTTTTTAGTGATATCTTCGGTTTGGCTCTATAACTAAATACAGTATCTGCATTTACACTGTTTCACAAAAAAAGGTTTCATGATGATAAGTATTTAGGCCATATCAATACACTTACTTTTTTATCTCGACAAACTTTTCTTTATCTTGTTTTTCCTTGAGTAAAAACAATGGAACTATAAAGTAGCTATGTAGATGATTCAAATACAAAACAGATTGTTAATAAACGCATAATATGGACGAATTCTAGAAAATAAACGCTACTTCAGTGAGACTGTTCTATCATTTTGCTAAAAGAATCCATCTCTAAGGAATATTTCGAAAGAAACATTAATTATAAATCTGTGAAAAGATAAGAAAAAAAAGTTCAGATTAAAGTCATTTGAATTTAGATAACAAATGATACTCACATAAAGACTGAGGACTCTGTCCAATGTTTCTTTTAATTTTTTCTTCTTTTCTTTTAAAGCTTTATCAGTAGGAAGAGGTGTGGATGCTGATTCTAATTCTGAAAGATGAAATGATAATAAAATGTAGATTATGTTTTCTAAAGTTTACTTAAGGATATGTACTTTGAAGCAGCTGCTTTTTAAAACTCCTTCCGTTGTTGAATGCATGTTCACGTTTTTCAATGTGGAGAATGTTAACGATTTAAAAGATTTTATTCACTCATTTTCGCCTTCTGTTTTGAAACCATTGACCAACCTTTTTGGTCAATTTCTGCCTGTTTCAACCTAAAATGTACTCCGTTGCCATGAATAAAATGAGAGAGGGGTGAGTAACTGAAAGAATCATAGCAAATTTTATTGAATTAGGGGTTTTAAATTCTGGAGGCTCTGTAGTTTCCATCACTGATTCAGTTACTTCTTAAAGTGCATATGACACGAAAATTTTTATTCGCCTCTAAGACGTAATCGAGTTTGCTGATCATGAAAATCACCATAAAATTTTCGAAAAACAAACACTTTCGTAATTACAGCTGTTTCAAGGTCGATTTTTTGCTTCAAATTCTGTCACAAGGGATTGGGTCGAGTTTGACAGGAAGTGACGTAAAGTGGTTGTGTCTTGTAAAGATGTAAAGATGGGATTTGTCTTGGTCTGTGATTGACAGAAATGTGACTTGAAAACCTTGCTAAAATTGGATTCAGAGCAAGGAAAACATGGCGTTCACAAGATCAACTAATGAAAAATTTGCAAGCAAAACATAATTGTTGGGGAGATTATGAGTGCAAAGGTCCAGCATCTGTTCGAAGGTATGTTGGCTTTCAAAGATTTGCATCACTTGCTTTGCACGTGCACAGTTAAAAGCAACAATGTTACGTCTAATGTATTTGATGGTAGAAGCATTTGGGGTGCTTATTAGAATAAGCAATGCTCGAATCAAGACGATGAAAATTTAGAGACAAGGGTGTCATGAGAAGAGGGAGAAAAGCGGTTATGTACATCGAAAGTTTGAATTGAATACTGTTAAACGCATTAAAGATGCGAATTTTGTCAACAAATCTTCAACCTAATGCGCATGTGCATACGATGGACTGTAATTTTTCTTGTTAAGTATATGCAAAAAGTACAACATTAATGGCAACTCCAAAGTTTGCGTGATTGACAAGTGTGAAATTTTGAACTTGAAAAGCATTTTGGTCAATTCATTACTCATAACGTGTCAAAACATCGCACTGCGATGGAATCAAATGATTTGAAATACATTGCGTTTCACAATGTTACATTTTTGCATAAGGTACCAAAACGCATATTACACAGGCAAAGTCGGTTGATATGGTAAAATATTTCCTCGTCTACGTCTAGGTGGCATCCTGGTAGTGCTCAATCGAGATCTCGGCTAGCCGGGAAATGTTTTCACGTGTGAACGCTTTGCTATTTTGTGTAGTAAAGCGGTTACAATGCGTATATTGCGGCTTGGCGGTATTCCCGCTTTACCGGGAAAATGCCATGTGAACTACTCCATGTAAAAAGGCACTTAGCATGCACAACTTATGTTGGTTCTTGTTAATACTAGTTATAATATAAATAAGGAAAACACTTAAAGAACAAAAACCTAAAGAACCAAAACCTAAAACTAGAAATTGGCAAAACAGAGGGACGAAGACGATGTTCACGGGCCGTTCACTCAGCTATGAGAAGATATTGATGAATAGCATCTGGTCATAGCGAAGCCCCTTCCACCTTGATAATTATGAAGATTTGGTACACGATATTGAAAAGCCAGTTTTTGCCCAAATACTAAATATCTTCCTAAATCAAAGATTGTCCCAAAATTTGAAAATAGAACGTGCAACGCCAAAGTGCAGAATACATAACAATTTCAATTCTATCAGCGACTTACTGAACTTCAGGGATGTTTAGCAGGTGGACTAGAAATAAGCTTAACAATCTCAATTTTAAATGTCATCGATTCTTGACAAAGTAACTTTGATTAGCGTCCTCTAAATACGCATGTCCTATTTGCTGATCAAAAAAGGCTTTCGATGCAGTCAGTCACGATGTATCAATCATTATGACACTGGGAAAAACTCCTTGTGAACAGAGACATGTGATTTCCAAGTAGAACATCGATACCAGTTCGATGCAAACACAAAAGGTGCCAACAAAATGTCATCAGTTAGCATGATGCAAAGTGTTTCTTCTAATGTTTTGAAATGTCAACATAACAGCTTCTCTAACATCAGGTAGCCTCCAGATATAGAGAATCGGATTGACAGCACTGTTGAGATATATGAAGATCTCCGTGCACATCCCTGATATGACAACCTTATCAAAGTCCCTTCCGATGATAGACAGGACCAAAATCATGATGAATCTCGGGCACAAAGATAAGAAAAACGCCAAAGTGACAAGAGCTGAAATTGTAGTCTTCTTTTTGACTGCAATATGTGATGTTGTCTGAGTAAAAGTTTTTGTTATAGATGAAACTCCGTTTCCAATCACTTTTCTAGCATTCTTTTTCAATTTCTGGATAACTTTGAAATAACAAACGCCGACAACTCCAAGCAATATGACCATTATGAAGGAGACAATCAACATGAACATTTTGAAACCAAGTAATCTTGAGAACGGCAACGGCAGAAAGAAGAGCCACACAACCCATAAACCAAGTAGCAATCTCATTTTCTTGCGATGGTACGATTGTCTCCTGTACATAACACAACGATTGGTGGCGACGTATCGATCAATACTTATTGTGCAAACGCCAAATCCAGACCAACCACATAGGAGGTATGCAAAGAAGGAATGGGCCATTTGAAACTTGCATGAATGTATATTGTGTAAGGCATTGATACGATTGACAAGCCAAAGTGGAATAACTACTGTCCCAACAAGAACATCAGTGATCGCAAGCAACGTCAGCAGTTGGTTCGTTTTGGTACGAAGTTCCTTGTCTTTGAATATTACAAAAATCACCAACGAATTCGACATGACAGAAACAATACCGATTATTATATTGGAAACTAAGGTTGCAAATAAAACATATCTTGATAAATCCGTTGCCTTATATTCGATAAACTGCAACCCGTAGCAAACAAGTGTTACACCCGAAAGATTTGTGCCGTTTGATCTCATTTTGATTACCTGGTGAAAATCGCAAGAGTTCTACTTTTGCAAGACCGCTCACAAAACACGACAATCCCATATGTTTCCAGTTACTTAGTGTTCAGATAAACATCTGTTCTGCTGTTAAAGGAACAGCTGGCATGACCCACCACCTGCAAACAATAATCTTTTTACCGCATAACTCGACCTGTAGCTGAAGTGCTACATCTTGCCGACGCTGTCCCCAAGAAGGTTTACTAACGAGACAAAGCTCACGGCAGTTCCCAAAATTCTTGTACAAATGCTTCCAATGAATATAAAAAGAAATCACCAGAAGAGGTCTTGCCAGCGGATAGCTTGTGAGGTTCTGGAGCCTGAGGAGAGTGCGGCAAAAGAAAAATGAAAGGCACCCATTGGCATAGAAAGACCAACAACGATTTTTTCTGAGTTCTATACAACCAAGGTTCGACTTTGGAGGATAGTTCTATTCACGGTCAAATCCCTGCGCATCTACGTTCAGGGGCGGATCCAGCAAAAAATCTGACTGAGTTCCAGGCCAAGGCTAGGGTCTTTCAGATAATGCATTTACAATTGTGCCTAAGACAACATTATTATTCATATTTATGCATTTTGGTACCATTGAGGAGGAGGGGTAGGTACTATCCATTCACTAAATCTAGACTATAGATTTCTTTCCGACAGAAAATAGTGCCTCTGTGAAAACCCCCTCCCTTTCTCAATACCCTTTTGTTTGTTTTGGATGCCACAGCAAAGTTTTCCCTTTTGTTTTGCTCGCAATTTGTTGTTTTGCCTACGTAAACACCAGCCTATTTTTCAAAATATGGTGTTCCGTCTGACCATAGGTATCCCTTCCTATCAACGACTGCAATTTAAAAATAAATTTCGAATTCAAAGTTATGCAGTTCCACAACAGATCAGAAACGATAGGTAGCCAATCAACTACTGGCTATTGTACAGCTCTCTTACAAATATAGCATCATTTCCGAGTTCCAGGTGCTGTTTTGACTGATGTCCATCCGTGTTCCAAACAAAAATTTCATTGTTTCAATTCATTCACTTCCGAGGCACAAAAGATTTTAAGATTTTGAAGAGACTGCGATAAAACTTATAATTTCTAGGTTTCACTTTTTTAGTTTAACTATTACTTATTCCAGGCAACACTATTTTTAGCTATATTTGGGAAAACTGACTGAGTTCTGTGCACTAAGGAACTCACTCTGGATCCGCCACTGACGTTGTACGCAAATTGATACTTCTAACTCTACCTCTAAACCGCTCTTTTTGGCTCCAGGCCTAAAAAATACGTACTAGCATCATAAATTTTGTCACTATCCAGGACTGTGCTCATATATTTGTATATATTTAATAGCTCCTAAACTTAAAGACTTGGCTTTGCTTAGAAAAGACTCATTAACATCCAGTAAGTTCTTGATCGTAAATTTTATCTCAGAAAATATCACGGATTCTGCCTGTTCACATTACGGACTCGGAAGCTTTCATACATAACCCATTAAATGATTTATAAATTGGGCCTGATTATTAATGTTACTTGTTGTTGTATTACAGATAAAAATTACAGTATTTACAATAAAAAGATACTTAGAAATTGAATACTTGTTCAAAAATTAAGTTGTTACTGCCTTCATGAAAACAGTTATGTTCTTAGATTGTCTGATGTGGAGAGGCAAAAGAGTTCCATGTATAAGGTGCAGCATATCCAAATGCTCTTTTGCCAAAAGTCTCTGTCCTAACTTTTGGGATTTCAAGTAGCGATAGCTCTGCTGATCAAAGCGTCCTGGGAGCTTTTTTACTGATCAATATCTCCTTTAATAACTCCTCCTGGCCCACTATCGTTCATGCACTTAAATACCAGTAATGAAAGTTTGTACAAGAACATAATACCTCCGAACCAATAAATTTTTTGCAGAACTATGGAGATAAAGCATATGAAAGAAATGAGCTTTGCTTTGCTTTTCTCCACTGCGCTGCATTCACACCATTCAACATCCACCAATCCGGCACCACCATCTCACATTTCAAATCCATTCACTCGTTCGTTTCATTTACTCTGATGAAGCCCTGTTATTAGTATATTCTTTAAATTTAATTTATTTTGAAAATTTTATCTCGTGACATTGGATTCTCGTCGTCGTATCGCTTTGTTCCTGTATATCTTTCAAATGAGCTTTGCTGGTGAATTACTGCTGTTGGGTCTGGTTCTTAGATATTGGAACAAAAACACAAAATTAGAGTGATTTTATGGTGAAAGAGCATGTGCTCGTCTGGCTATACCTCAGCCAATTTGCCACACGTTTGACTGTTTTCCCACATTTTAGGAAGTGTTTCATAATATTATACACAGTAATGCTTCTCAGAACAAGAATTCTAAAAACATATTTTTGTGATGCCATCGCTTTAGAAATCTTTGAAAATGACTTGGTCATCGTTAAAGGCAACAGAACTTTTAACAATTTATCAACCGAAGAAAAACATCCATCGAAAAATCTGAATGAAAAAGGTGGTCTGGATTGTAACAAGGATTTAATAAAGGCAGCTTTGATAACTGAAACCCTTTAAATTGGTCATTTGGACTAATTGCTGCAACCTTTCGCACGCTTATCGATCAAGAAACATGCGTCTGTAGGGGTAAAAGGTTTAAACAATATCATTGCTCTTGTTTCAGATAGCAGTACTGTTATCTGCTAGCGAGATATTAGGAGAGCCATTGAAAGACAACGTTCAAAACCCAATACAAAGCATGTTTTTACAAAAGTGTATCGTTACTTGCAATTTACCATATATTCATGTGATATTAAGCATAGAGCTCTCAGTATTTTTCATCATTTTGTAGGACACCTACATAGAAGCCATCATTTTCTACTCCTTTCTGAAGTCATATAGGGGGGACTGTTGGTCATGAATAAGTTTTGAAAACAAGGGCACATTGGAGGTTAGGCAGTCAGACGACAGGAAGGATCTTGAGAATTAAGTAAAAGGGATACTAAGAAAGCGCTTTATCTCGTCAAAATTTGGCTTTCAATGTTTTGAACGTAGCTTACCTAGTGTTCTGCTAAGTACAGCAGTTCCTATTCCCACGATATCACGAGTAAATTAAAAAGAGAATGAAAACAACAGTTGCTTGGAAACGTAGGCAAGGTTGGAAATCTTAGGAAGGAACGCGCGCGCAACCGAAACAGCGAAAATCAAGGTCGTTCTTAGCAGATGTTAGAATCAGTGTGAGCAAAACTAGGGTTCTGTCACGTGACTCCTACCATTCTAACCAAGACCAAAAAATTGAGATGCGAAATCGCTCTAGAGGCATCGTTTCACTGCAAGTTTCAAAATTATTGAGATACGACGAAACAAAGACAAATACAGACGAAACAAAGACAAATACAAAACCTCTCTTCGTTCCCTTTTTTAAAAACTATCAAGACTTCCTCATGCTACATCTGTCAAAATCTCTTTTGTCATTAAAAACCTGGAAACTGTTTGCTGAAATGCCTACATGACCATTTTACATTCCTAAATGCTTAAAAAAGCCTCACATCAGGTACTTGTAAATAGCTTGCCTGGTACAAACCTTTAATAATTATTACATGTTATCTTAACAAAAGAATCGTATAATGACCGTAGCAGAGTATAAAAAAATGAAGTATATTAGGGATATAATAATAACGTTATAATCAAATTTTTGGCAGTACAAAATATAAAAATGGGGGCTTTTAAAATAGCAAATAGCTTACAACATACTTAAAGCTTTTTCGTCCGGCACTCCTAAGAGTATAAAACGTCAGAATAAGGGTCCAAAGGAACAATATGGAAAAATATACCCAGTTGTGGATCGAAATTGGCCAATCATAAAAATGTAAGAACGTGATTGGTATAGTTGTCAAATCAGTACCGCGTACCTACATGAAAATTACCACTGGCTTTTTCGTTTGTATGTAGATCGATTCCAAAACTGCTAGATGAAAAGATGACCAGGCTCGGCCAATTATCTGAAACATGTCGTCATTATAGAGTTTTGCACATTATTGGTTGTCTAAAAGGTGTTGACAGATGGCAGGGTCACCAGTTTTAACTGTGTTTTTAGACCTACAAGATCGAGGAGGCTGTTCTCTTTGATGGGCAGTTTTGTTTTTTTATGTTAGAAGGAACATGTTGTTTTATCCTATCCCCTAATCCCTCTTTGGGTTGCGAGTCCTACGTATCTAGAATCACATCCGCACGTAAATTTGGGTGGAAAGGCTCTCCTAGTACTGTAAACAATATGAGGATCGAAAGCAAAGAAACAATTTTGTGATGGCCTGTTTAATCTGACTTTCAAATCGAAAGGATGTGTTCCCAATCAATAGTAATTTAAGGTAAACTGGGCATTTTTGTCGACCAAATTTTGGACAGCCTTAAAATTTGCAATTTTATCCCTAGTATAAGAAGAAATGACATCTTCTGGATAGACGTTGTCCAGGAAAAACGTGTTTAGTTTGTCCAGTTTTGGGTGAAGTTTAGATTTCGAGAAGATCGTGAGTGCCCTGTGTACTAAAGTTTTAACGAGGTTGAGTTTGCGTTGTTTAGGGCAAAAAGAACTCCAGAGTATGTACCGATTGGTAAAGCTGTTGGCTTGCGATATACAACGGTGAGAAATCCAGTGTCAAACATTTCAATCAAAACGTCTGGAAAAGGTAAGGAACCATTTTCTTCCTTTTCAAACGTAAACTGGAGGGCTGGGTGTAGGCCACTAAGGCATTTTAGCTACTATTTTGAAAATGGTATATGTGTTGTTCACAAATCGAAAGTATACACATGGCTTTTGGTCGCATTCAAACAAACGCTCTTTTCTGAGACTACTAAGGTCGAAACAACACATGAAAGATGTTTCGTTTTAATGCTAAACTTTTGCATGAACTCGGCAAACGTAAAAGACTCCTTAATGCAATGTTTTGAATGTTTTTGAAGAACAGGATCAAAAACTTCAGAAGGCAACTCCAGAAGGCCAGTTTGTGTTGTGCTGAGCCAATCAAAGACAAGATGGGTCTAAGTGGAACATTATGCTTTGGTATTTTAAGGAAGCCATAAAAATGGGTCGTTTAGAGCACGTGGGTTTTATATCTTATCATAAATTTCTGCGATCAACATTTTTGAGTTGACCAGTTCTAACAGACAATTCTTTTGACCGGTCGTGTTCTTGCGGTTTACTGATAAAGATATCACTATATGAAAGAAATGTCTTCAGCTGGCACAAAGTAAACTTCTATAACACAATAATTTGAACTTATTGATCAAGACTTATTTACAATAAACGTCTACAGAAAATTAAATCTACAATATAGAATAATATGAATATCGGAAACAATATCTAAAGAACACGCAACTGAAATTCTCATCCGTCGAATCTATGGTGTTTTCCCTGGACATAACTGGAGAAGCAGACAATTTTAAAATATTATCATTCATCCGCTAGGTACACCATTAAATGGCAAATATTTGAGAATATTGCGATAAAGAATGGAAGTTTGTCGATTAGACGTTGGTGTAGAAAACAAGACGATTCTGAGTTCAACCTCTGAGTTTCACGCTTAATGAGGCAGCAGTTCGCCTTTGTCCAGTCTCATAATCCACGAACAGACACTTTGATTAAAATGTCTCTTTCTGACCAGCCTTCCTCACTCACTCAAGGATGTAAGCGTTGAAAAAGTGACACAACTGCTCTTCTGACATCAGGTAGCCTCCAGATATAGAGAATCGGATTGACAGCACTGTTGAGATATATGAAGATCTCCGTGCACATCCCTGATATGACAACCTTATCAAAGTCCCTTCCAATGATAGACAGGACCAAAATCATGATGAATCTCGGGCACATAGATATGAAAAACGCCAAAGTGACAAGAGCTGAAATTGTGGTCTTCTTTTTGACTGCAATATGTGATGTTTGCTGTGTAAAAGTTTTTGTTTTAGATGAAACTTCGTTTCCAATCACTTTTCGAGCATTATTCTTCAATTTCTGGATAACTTTGAAATAACAAACGCCGACAACTCCAAGAAACATGAAAATGACAGAAGAAACAATTAAATTGAAGACTTTGAAACCGATCAGTCTGGAAAACGGCAAGGAGAGAAATAACAGCCACATGGTCCATGAGAAAAAGAGAATTTTCGTTTTATTGCGATGATATGCCGGTCTTCTGTACATAACGGAGTGGTTGGTGGCGACAAATCGATCAATACTGATTGCGCAAACGCCAAATCCAGACCAACCACATAGGAGGTATGCAAAGAAGGAATGGGCCATTTGAAGCCCGCATGGATGTATATCGTGAAAGGCATTAATACGATTGACAAGCCAAAGTGGAATAACTACTGTCCCAACAAGAACATCAGTGATCGCGAGCAACGTCAGCAGTTGGTTCGTTTTGGTACGAAGTTGCTTGTCTTTGAATATTACAAAAATCACCAACGAATTCGACACGGTAGAAGCAACACCGATTAAGGAATTAATGACTGATGCAAACACTAAGGTATAAAAGTAAGCTGTGGATATCTTGAACTCGAGAAACTGCAACCCATGACAGTTAAACACAACTCCAGATTGATTGGTACCGTTTAATGACATTTCAGGAAGACAATTCTAGTCAATGTGTGATTGAGCGATTCTACAGAAAGTAATTAATAGCAACAAGAACGAATTTCTTAGAGCCTGAAACAGCTTAAGGTCAATGTTTTCATGTAAACTGAAGCATCGGACTCGTTATTCAGCATTTTAATAAAAAATGCAAACAAAGGGAAGGCTGAAAATTTGCAGTGTCACCAACAGCTGCAATACATCTGTCATTATGACTTTATTGTTGCTTCCAAATGTTCACCTTCCCGCACAAACGTGATGAAATTTGCAGTCAGATTATGTCCATATGCGGATGATCTCTGCACAAAATAACACTTGAAGGAGGCAAAGAAGGCAGATTTGTTGCAAAACAACATGTTGTATCCACATGTTGCTTATGGCTACTCCAGGCGTTCTGTTTCAACACCTTTAGACCAAGAGTAGAAATCAGGAATCAGAAAAGTAGCTTTCCGTGCTTAAGAAAAAAAGCAATACGTTTGGTTTATTCTCGCAGGGTCGTAATAGATTAATGAGCATTTTTTAGACTGTACCAAATCACTGTTTGGACACTATCGCCTTTTGATTGGCTGTCAAAAAATTAGAAATCGTGTTTTAACAAACTTTGTAGAATAAATTTAAAGACCAAGAATTATAAAATCTACCATAAAACGTTTTGGTTCCATCATAAAACGATGTTCCGTTAACTCGTAAAAAGCCTTCAAAGTTAGTGTTACCCCATTTGAACAATCGTATTAAATATCCGCATAGATTATAGCTAGATTCTATCTGAGTTTACACGTGCTGTAAGTTAGGCCTTCTTTTGTTATGGTGAAGATTACTATATATTGGAGTTCTATTTCGTCTCATTTCTTCCTACTACATTAGGAGCTTGTCCGGATGAAAATAATCCATCAACCAGTGGGAAGAAATATTCAATGATTTATTTTGCGCCTACGTGCAAGCACATCTTTTAAATAATTGACAGACTGGTAGATTTAGCTCCATATTATTGTTTAAATACACAATTATTCAATTAGGAGCACTTGCGAATGAAATATTCCATTTCAAACAGAAATTCTTTCATTTGATCAGGGTAGTAATACTTCCAACTTTGGGAGTGCATCTTTTTAATCAGGGAGTGCATCTTTTTAATTGATAGAGCATGGTTTTGTTCCAAATGTGCCAAAGCACTTACAATTTACCCCAAATTCGTTAAAAGGAGCTCATCACCATTGAAAATTACTGTTTATTAAAATCTAAAAATTGCTTAATCTCATAATAAATCAATTTTGGCCCATAATCAGACATCTAAGAAAAATTTATACCTGGAACTTGGCAAAATGATTTATTTAAACCTTGTTTTTTATAATAGGTGTTTATAATAAGAGCACCTTGGGTTTGGAAAGAATTATTCCATTTGAAAAGCGAAATCTTTTTCATACTAAGCATAGCAGTTGTTCAAGTAGTGCTCATGATGTGAAATAAATTTGAAGCAAAATACATGTATATAATTTTCACAGAATAATTGTAACAGCTCATCTCCTACTTGGTATTCATTCAAAATGTAAAATTTTATGAATAAAGACAGAAAATTGTCAATTGATGACTAAAAATAGATTTTTTCTGATGTCCAATCTGCTCATTTGGTACAGTCTAAAAAATGCTCACAATACTGCTTGCACTCAACGCATTCATACAATGTTTATTTTTCACTTACCTAACAAATCTATCTTGAATATTTCCTCCAAAATTTGTTTTGGATCTTTCATTTTCAATACTGTTTCTCTCACCATCTTTCTCTGTTTTTTGTTCTAATGGAAAGAGAGGGATTGTTAAACTCATGAAACATGATTTGTAATAAACTCCTGTATTAAAATCCTTTCCATTGTAAATGCAAAGCATCCAGTTCATAGAAACTGTGACGCCATCTAAAGTTGCTTTATATTTATGTATCTCTTGTTTGTATTCAACAACACAATTTTCATTGCATATTAGAGAATTTCAATATCACAAATTCCAAACTACTTTTTCACAGGAAATTTTACTCTTTCTTTTATCTGTGAAGATACATGCTTTCATTATTCCATGGAATTGGACTTAAACATACCAACATTGGCAAAATCTGTATGTGACAAGCTTCAGGACAAGATACTGAAAATAAAATGTTGTTTAGCATTGAAAAAAGACTGAAAGGCTGTGCTGAAATTTAAAACTCTGAGTGAGCTGAACAATTTTGGAGTGACAAAATCAAACAGCTTTCAAATAATTCTAAAAAAGTTATACACCTAGCCAAGGTTAAATCCTTATGAATTGGGTGATGAAGACGTTTTTTTAAGATCTATCGAGAAGAATCAAAGTTAGGAAAACTGCAAATTCACCTTCTTTAGCTCCTTTTTTCTGGCTTCCTTTCCTACAGAATGAAACATGGTATATTTGAAAAACATAATTCAAAAAGCCTTTAATACTGCAAAACTTAGAAAATAAGGAAATCATATCCTAAAGTATATTTTGCCTAACACTGCTCACAGCTTAACACCATGGTAATTCAAAGGACAACTCTGCAGCAATTTGATAAAATACTCAAAGCATGTGAGGCAATTTTTTCAGTTATTGAAGAATGAGAAAAAAGAAGGAAGAAGATAACAGTCAAATATAGGATTGTTTCGAATATTTCTCTTCACGGCAAGTAACTTGAGATAAGGTGTTTTTGATCATCATTAACATGATGTTCTTACCAGCTAAAGCAAAGAAAAATGGATGCACCCTTGTTCCTGTAATCAGGTACAAAATCACTCAAATGACATCAAGCCCAATCTCCAGTGAAAAAAAACAGCAAAATGTGAAAAAGTTCGTGTGAAATACATCTTGGACATGCGCAGTTAACTTTTGCTGGGAATTTTTGAGAAGAATTTTCTGAGAAAAAAAGTTAAAATGAGTTTAATTTTTTTTATTTTTGATTGCGAAACCCTTTGGCATCCAATCATAATCCATATTGCTTCCAAATTTTACATTCCAATGTAGCAAGGTCAACAAAAACATTCACAGGAACTTTTTCCTGTGAAGTACTTCACGGCAAATTTTGTAAGACTTTTTCTCACTGGAGATTGCTACAACATGCTAGTGTGATCATGTGGTATCAAGATGCACTTCACAAAAAAGCAACTCTTTACCAAAATGCCGCCTTTTCTTATCACTCTGTCAATTCTTACACCTCAGATTAGAATTTTTGACTTATCAGCTGTGATTGCAGCCGAGCAATTTCTGTTAAAATGATTCATCCAGCTGCACAGGATTCTTCTTTAACTGTTAAACTTATCGTGTATGTACTTAATAATTGACGCTTTTAATGAAATTTGAATTTGATGACCCTCAGAGTTACAGATCGTCATTACTTTTCGCTTGTGTACACATGGGGCTGGTTTGTAAATGTTTATCTTTGCTATAGATGAAGGGGGGCCTTCATCTCATTAGTTAACCTACTCAGAATTCTGCTTCATTTTGTCTTTTAAATATTGTCATTTAAATAATGTTATTGTTGTTGTTGCATTCTTTAGTTGATTTGTTTATAATTTATGTAACTAAATAGCTTTTAGAAATGTAGTAGAATTTGAATTAAATTAAATCAAATCAAAAATCAAATCAATAAAGTAAGACATGTGGAAATGTTAAGAGTTCTGGAAGCATTATACATGATGTAAAGGATTTACAACTAAAAAAAATATTGTTTTTCTCACCACTGATGATGTTACTAATGTTTTTTTCAAAAAATTTATACCCAAAAGTTCACACTGTATTTTCATGGTAATTAGTCTCAGCCACACAAAATTTTTATCTGTGCTATTTGCAAATGCGTAACTTTCATGAAACAGATCCCCCGTGCCTCTTTCAAAGATTTCAATCTGGCTTACCCTCAAAAGAAACACACAAATAACTAGTGAGATGCAACAGAACATCATACACTGTGAGTCACTTTTTGCCGTGCAATGTAGAAATCGGTAGGCTTCACTGCCTCCCTATAGAGTTATCGCTCTAGAGTATTCTACACCTCATTGGTGCGGTCAATATATTGCAGGCATGCAACAAAATTTCCAGTCTGGAACCTGTAGAGATTTGCTGTTATCAAGATAAAATAAAGTTCCTTATTTCATCTTGCTGTTATCTAGTCATTTTCTTTTCTGTAGCTAGGCCTTATTATTATGAAAGATGATTTTTGCTAGGATTTGGAAAAAGCTAATCAAAACTGAAGAAGCCAAAACTTTATCATATAATGTTATAGAATGTAGAATGTTCAACATTATTATTTTCGTTTTAACAAATTTTAACAAATTGTAACTTTAAATTTTTTGTCCTTGGTTTAGTTTAAGCAGGTCCACATCAGCTTTATGCTGACTACTTCCGACCTGCTATAAAAAATTAATAATGTATGTATGTATGTATGTATGTTATGTGTGAGAATTCTAGTTTTATGCGCGTAAGCTTAAGAACAGGCAAAATGCGCTAGACTTGTTCCCACAGAACAAAATGTAGACTTCCATGATTCACTACAAATCTTTCCATACATAGGCCTAAGTAACCAGTACACCTAGAGCATGAGCCATTATTTGTTTGAAAATTTGTGTACCGGCTTTATTGGCAAGCCATTTTTTGCTGGAATCTTTATTGAGCAAAAATATCTGAATGAACAGCACTAGGTACTGGCATAATAACATGGCGGCAAAAAGTATTGTTTATTAATACTAACGTGCACGGTCAGTGGGATTCATATACTTCCCACTCTTGGTGGTGAAGGTAGATCTTCGCCCCATAGTGGCAAATGAATTGAGCAGCCGAGTAAAGCTGATCTGCAAGGACAGTGGCTATAAAATTATGTTCTTCGCGAACCATGCACCCTTCATAGCAAAGCAAAGCCAGAAGTTAGGCCATCTCCTTCGTAGCTTGAACAGATCGCAGCGTCACAGTGCAATCGAGGGCGGATGGAAAACAAATATGGCAGCCAGACGGAGCAGTAATATAAGAGAAGAACCTACGCCCGGTCTGCATTACATATCCAGAAGATCTCCAGTCATATGCACACATGGCGTGGCTGCATCAAGCCAAAGTTTAGCCAGTGAAATCGGACTACGGATTCTTAAGGCTGGCGGAAATGCCGCCGATGCAGCAGTGGCGGTTGCTGCAGCATTGAATGTTGTTGAGCCAGGGAGCACTGGCATCGGGGGTGACTGTTTCTGTTTGTTTTATCATGCAGAATCCAAAAAGGTTAAAGCTATGAATTCAAGGTTAATTTCTTTATTTTTTTCTCATAGCCCGGTAAAGTTAGGTCACGACATCAAGCACTGCATCCCCCTGACCCTGACCGCAAGACTACTGCACTCTCCAAGATCCCATATTTTCAATTTCGTTGAGTGTGAGAGCTGAGAAAAGAGCAAAATATTCTTTGCTTCCATTCAATCAATTTGCTTAGTAAACTGCTAAATTAGCAATTCTTTTATGGTACTGCCCCTTAAGCACCTGCATCCCCTTTTGCATGCCTTGTTTTCATTTGTTTTTTCCTTTCCTTCTCAGTGGTAGGTCACCACATCGCCTCTCTATAGATCTTTTGAGGAAGAATTTTGGCATCTCAAAAGCAAGTGGTCAGAATGCCTTACCTCATGATTCTGTGCACTGCATCACAGTTCCTGGTGCTGCTGCTGGATGGATTGGCTGTGTTGAGAAATTCGGGAATGGAAAAGTATATCATAAGCAAATACCTTTCTCTTTAAGAATCTAAGATTATTCATGCTCTTTGATGATGACTTAAAAATGTAAATCCTTTAGATATTGCTAACATACCTTCTCAATGATTGCTTTGGACAATGTGTCATCCATAGACATACAAATCATTTTAAACATTTATTTTAAACATAGAGTATATGGCATAAATTGCTTTTCTATAGTGAGCTGGAATCTTAAAACAGTCTTTAGGAAAAAGTTTTTACAAAGACCTTATTTCAAACAAGCTAGGTTCTAATGTTTTGGAAATCTAATTTGATTCTAAACTCAAATTGAGTTGATATTTTTGGAAATGCTATTTAATGAATGCATTTATCTAAAGCAGACAGGCCTGCAACAAACTGCCAGTCTTGCATGGGATTACATTTATTTTTCCTTACAGAACAGAACTTATTTTAAATCAAAAATATTTTTTCTTACAGTTGACACTGTCTAAGATATTGCAGCCTGCAGTTGATTTGGCAGAGGAAGGGTTCCCTGTTCATCCTATAGCTGCCCATGCATGGAAGTCTGGTGAAGATTTACTAAAGTCATGGAGTAAATCCTACTACCCTGATCTACTCATAGATGGAAAAGCACCTTCAGTGGGACAAATTTTCAAAAATCCTTCTTTAGCAGAGACATTCAGAGTATGTTGTTGATGTTGAGTTTGATTAAAATTGTCTTTTTAACTCAAAATCTAGCCTTTTTTAATGAAATCAATTAAGAAATATTTTAATGTCCATAACCTTTAGATTGATCATAATTTTAAACCTTCATTAAATTTTGTTGGCTTCTATATGATCGGGGGCTTTAAAATAAAGCACTGAAAAACATTTTTCCTCTATTCAGTGGCCTAGCTTGACATTTCAGACCAGGGGGTTGACGGAAATCACAAGTAAAATTTACTGCTGAATACATCGATGAAGGAAGATGCAGGTGTTATTTGACCAACTGGTAGAAGATCTTACAGACCAGCTAAAGATTTAGTGGACAAACTAAGACAACCTGACCAATTCATGAAGAATTGGGGGGTGCACTCCTTATACCCCATGCTAGCAACCCTCTGTTTTTATTTCTTCCATCACAGTTCTTTGTATATGAGTATTTTTTTCTTAACAGGACATCGGTACCCAGGGTAAAAAAGGGTTCTATGAGGGACGGGTTGCTCAAGCCATTGTTGATATAGTTCAAGAAAATGGAGGACTATTAACACTGGAAGACTTGAATAGCCATTTCAACACATTTGAAGACCCAATAAGTACAACATATAGAGGCATCGAAGTATGGGAAATACCACCAAATGGACAAGGCATTGTTGCTCTGATGGCATTGAATATCCTGGAAGGATTCGATTTAGGAGGTCAGAATGAGCTTTTTGTTTTTATTTGCACCTGTTCTCTTTTATATGCATAAATTTCTTCATTACAGGCTCCTATTTTGATGTATGTTTCTTCAGTCAACAGTCAGTCTAATTCATCATTGCCATACCGATCACAGAAAAGTATGTCTTTCATCTTGACAATACCCTTCAAGCTCTGAGAAACTTTCCCTGGAAAAAGATTAAAAGTTAAGGGAGAATTGTTGTGGCACTAAGTTTCTTTTATTAGAATAGAATTCTTAAGCGATGAAATCACAAGAATCTTTCTTCAAAAACTTTTGAATTTATATCACGTTATCTGAAAGACCATCGCGAATGCATCTTTATGTGAAAAATCACTTAAATATGTTCCAAAATGACTGAAGGCTAAACGAGCAAAAGCTTTTTCCAAGTTCAAAATTTCATGAACGAAGCCAAGTTAACTGTAATCCATGAACAAATCCAAAGTCTCTCGTAAACTATATCTCATCAAAATTTGAAGATATATAGCAAATTTGTAGGTACTTTAGGGTGTTCTTTCAGGTTCTGTGGCCATCATAACATTATGAAAATCATAACATGAATTTTGTGACGTCACGTGATTTTCGTCGTCGTGCATTGCGTGTCGTCGTTATCTTGGGTCGTTTTTATCATCATTTTTCTTGTTGTTGCTGTAATCGTTTTTGTCATTGCAACCTTCAACGCCTTTGTTATCGTCTCAACTAATTTCATCATAGTTGTTCGTTAGCATTTTTAATCCTATACCCATTAAATTCTGCGAACCCCAGCTTAGTAGAGTGGAAGAATTCAATTCCTTCTCGGTCCTTTCAAGTTTTTTGCTCGTTAATCTGAACGAGTAGAACTTTCTACTTTCTTTCCATGAATAACATTCCAATGAGTATGTTTTTCAATTAGTGAATGAGTTTCCAATGAGTATATTTTCTTTTGAGAAGTTGATTCCTTTTTTGTACCTTTTCTTCTTAGTCAAATAATAGTCAATAGTCAAAAACGAATAATAGTCAAAAACAACGATCAGTCACGGTGGTGGCAAACTAAATTGCCCGGCGAAGGTAACTTTTGGAATCTCGATCACTAACCTTCCCGTTGGCGCTGCAAAAGATGTGCCACGCGTCTAAATTGAGATGTCACCTCAAGACCCTTCCCAAATGTTCCGCCACCGCTTTTGATCTACTTTTTGCAGGACCTCTATGGTACATCTAATATAAAAGAGTTGTATTTATTTGGTGGTTTACACTTTGCAGGAATGGAACACAATTCTGCAGAGTATCTGCATTTGCTGATCGAGGCATTGCAACTGGCCTTTGCCGATGGGCTTCAGTATGTTGCAGACCCTGAAGTTTCAAAAGTATGCACAAAACAGTTGTTATCTAAAAATTATGCCGAAAAAAGAAGAGCTTTGATTCATAGTCAGAGGTTTGTATTGTATAGTTTCTGGTGCCACTCATAACTCGTTTTTTCCCTGAATACGGGCTTATACTCTGTGTACGGGCTTATACTCTGGCTACTTCAGCAGTTGAGTTGAAAGACCACTCTGCAACCGTGTTAGTTCCGTCAGGGGCCCATCAGGGATTCTGAAACAAAAACTACCATTTATCAGTATTTTACTGTTCCTTGCAGAGCAGTGAAGCACTACCACTTCGGAGACCCGAACATTGGGAATGATACTGTTTACTTTTCGGTTGTCGATGAAGATGGCAATGCTTGCTCATTCATTAACAGCATCTTCATGAATTTCGGTTCCGGACTGGTCCCAGAAGGTTGCGGTTTTGCTTTACAGGTCAGTATTCGTAACCAGTTTTTGCACTGTAAACAGCTCGATACCGTGTTGCCAGTGTTAATTCTTTATGGAGGAATATTTGACTCCAAGAATAATATGACTTTAGAAATGTACAGCTTATCTTATAATTTTCTTCTTGTAGTAACCAACTACTTACAAAAGTTCTTTTAAGAATCTTTCTCTGATAAATTGTCTCTGATAATCCTCTTGTAAACTTATGTAAAGGAGAATATGGGTCATTTGTGGATACTAAAAATTCTAAATAAAGATTTAGAAAATAAGAACTTAGTAAAGATTTAGTTAAGTATGTTTGCTTTAGAGATGCCAGCAGTAGATTTTGCCATCCTACGCTTAACATAGTTTCAAACAGCCATGTTTTAAAGCTGACATCATCTTGGTTTTTGCTGCCATCTTCTCAAGTCGTAATTGCTGTTGCTGAATTAATCTCTTTGTACCCCAGTACTCGCGTAAATATGTTTATCAGTGGAACCCATAAGATATTGAAATTTAGCAATATAGTTATTTGGAAGTGGAAACAACTGTTTATTTCTTGTAGGTGTTCACAAGGCGTACCTGATAGAGGATGTAGGGGTTTTATGATGTAGGCTCGTCCGGTCTACGTCTCCTCCTCTCTGTCACCTTTTTCTGAGTTGATCGAGAAAATTTTTTAATTGGTCCGCACATTTGTTAGCTGATTCGTAAAATCGTATGGCAGTTGGCAAGAAAGAAGAAAATTGTGTAAATCCAAGACTTTTTCGTTAAATTCCATTTTTCTAGATCTAGCCTGTAGGTATACAGTTGTTCTTGGCTGCAAATTAATGCATTACTAGCATTCCACCCCTCTGTGACGTATCTTTCTTTCTTTTCAAGAACCGTGGCGCAAATTTTTCATTAGATCCAAACCACGCAAACTGTTTGGAGCCTGGCAAGCGAAGTTACCACACCATAATACCTGGAATGGCAACTTACTCTGATACACAAGAGTTATTCTCTTGCTTTGGAGTGATGGGAGGTTTCATGCAGCCACAGGGACATGTCCAGGTTAGGCCACAAATTGTCGTTTGGAATGAAAACAACTTCAAAGTCATTCCAGCACGATGAGTTTGCAAACGCTTGTGCCTGCGCCTACCTAAACATCGTGTCTCTTTAAAATTTATTTAAAAAACTGCCCCCTCTATCTGATGATTGTTTTTAAGAAAGCTAGCTAATCTGAATTATCTTTCAGTTAATGCGTGAATTTGGTTTTGTCAAATGCATGGTAATTAATTCATTTTGCATAATTCATTTTGCATAAATTAAATGAATTTCACAGTGAATGTGTCCAGCTTTACCGAATGTGTATAAAGTTACATAGTTTTTAGCATGGCATACAAACTCTGGGTGAGATAGCTAATTGAGATTCTGATATTTCTGGAATGCTTGATGGTTTTGTTACAATTATCAACAAATTTTGAATAATAGAAACATACAAATTGCATAACACTAGAAATACACATCGCTTTCTGGTTTGGTTCTAATAATGAGCCTTCTTCTTTAAAAATTGAGTGTTGTGGGTAAAGTGAGTCATTTTTTCAAATTGCCTTTGATTGGGATAAATGCCATAGTCCCTTCCGAAAGCATTTTACAGACACGCATGCTGTTAGTGGGTAAGAGACTGATGTACCGATGCGAGGCAAGCTTCAAGAATGAAAAAAGATGGCTCCTTATTTCTGATTGAGGCTTATTCTTTATTTGGCCGTGTAGTGCCACAATGACTGTATGTTTCTTGAAATCAAATCTAAATATCAAGCAAAAATGAACATCTTCAAAAAACACTTGTTTCAACTCAAACAATGGGCCATACTTTTCTTTTAGGAAGAGCTGTTTACCAATACTAATTTGCGATAAGCTTTAGCCTTACCAAGTTTTCTAAGTGTTTTAATGACTGACTATCAGTTTTTGCATCAACAGGTTTTGTGCAATATGATTGACTTCAGCATGGATCCTCAAACAGCATTGGACATGCCTCGATTTTGTGTTGGCACTGGACACCGAAGCGCGGTTGGGTCAATTTCAATTGAACAGGGCATTCCTGAAAAGGTTATTGAGGATTTAGAGAAGTTTGGACATGTGATCACAGGGCCAGTCTGTGGCTATGATCGTAGTTTATTCGGGAAAGGACAAATCATTCAACAGAGGAAAGACAAAAGTGGTCAAATTGTTCTGTGGGCTGGTTCGGATCCAAGGGGTGATGGATGTGCCATTGGCTATTAAGACACTTATCATCGGATCTCTTACGCGAGATTTTGGTTAAGATATATAGATTAAGGCTTTTTCATTCACTTCTCTCTTACAGCTGATTACGCAAATCCACGTTGTTGACGTACTTAAAAAATGATCACTTCTCACTTTTATCCATAATACTTTTTTAGGATAAAAGCAGTAATTTTTTTACTTGCTGAATATATCCACGCAGAACATTTAGGCTATAATCGATATTACAAAAAATGACACAATTGTTAATGGTGTTTTATAATTCTTAATGACACAATTCTTATTTAATAGTGGTGTTTTTATTAAAAAGAGGTAAGGTCAATAACCAACCATCGTAATTTACGTTTGAGGCTGATGGCCTTATTCCCTACATGTCCGGGGCAGCAAAGTGTTCGGCTTCACATACAAACTTCTGTGCCAATTCTTTTTAACTTCCATGCCAATAAAGCAGTATCAGTTTCTGATTGAATTCTTTCTAATATACGCTTATTCTCGCCTCTGTATATTCTTTGCTCGGCTCTGAATTCTTTGTAAACGCTTATTCTCGGCTCTGTATATCCATATTTTTAAAATTGGGCTTTGCATATGTGTATATAAATATAATGATGTTATGATATTCTCTTACCATTATTTCACTATTTTGTTCACATCTGTCGTTGTCAACACTTTAGTTAACATACTCTGCTCGCCCCATTTTGGTTTATATTTTCTTTACAAATTCATCTATAGGGTATGTCAGCCTTGCGTGTTGATATGCGTGGCCATCGGATGTGGACCCCTGGGCTGGGAGCATGCAGGGAGCTTCAGCTCTCCGTTAACCTGCAACAGAAAATTTGTCTGTATATATGGCCCTTTTAGCAATAAACATAGATAATAAACCATATCCATCCCCATATTTTGCTAATTGACTGGATCTTGAGATTTTAACGATCAGCCCCCAAAACAACCATTTTTCTCCGCTTGTCCGATTTTCGCATCCGCAACCGGCCTACTATATATCTAACTAGATTATTTGTAATTTTCTATTGATGCTAATTGCTGCATGAATATCTTGTAAGAGGCATTCACCTAAAACGGATACCAAATATCATGAAATGGTCGTTTTTGGCATTTTTCCTTTTTTGTAAAAATTCAAAAATGATATCCATATATAATCAAGTTGGGGGCTTTTACAAGGGGGTCTGGTTCAGGGATTTACGGTGGGTATATAGACCCCCTAGACCGTTAGCGTGTTATTTTTGCTGTAGCATTTACCGTCATTACTGATGATACCTTGTTTCTGGTCAATCATAGCCACCATCGGTAGGCAAGTAAAGCAAATTATACGGAATTTTATCCCATATAAGAAAGTAAACCCAAAAATTGAAACAAAAATTTAGAAGGAAAAATTCAGCCTCGTTTTCAAAATCAAAAGAAAATGGCGACGTGAATTTTGTTTCTGAATTCTTACGAGCTTGTGCTCAAAGGAGGATAAATAGCTTATAGCTGTATTGATCGTACTGGAATGTCGTTTTCCATATTTATTTGTCTCAAGCAACTCTCTTTACCGAATGTCTATTGAAATCGACCCTCCATGTGCATATTCACTGGACAAGGTGCAGTTACGATTTTTAGGGCCTAATGATATTGATGAATTTAAAGTGCTCTGTCGCGACTGGTTCCCGATTGAGTAAGTATTTGTCATTTTGTCATTCAAGTATGTATATGATTAAAGTGTACAATTAAAGTTTAGACAAATGGAATCAGATAGTGTCACACGCGAAAAGTGATAAAAACATTCAAACTCACAATATCCGTTGTGTTTTTACTCAACAATCTCTTGTTATGTAGGTATCCGAATGGCTGGTACAAAGAGGTGACATCAGGCCAAAAGTTCTTTTCTCTTGCTGTGACTTTAAACAACGAGATAATTGGTGTTATTGTTGCTGAAGTCAAGGAAAGAAAAAAATGCAACAAAGAGGTAGATTGAGACAATTTTTCTTCAACCATATTTTCCACTTTTATTAACTTTTGTTGAAGTAAATTATACAATTTGACTGACTCACTAGTTATAAAATTTGAAGCATAGCATACAAACTAGAAAATAACAGCAATAAATTTCTGCTACTTTTTCTTAAAAACCAAAACTTGACAAGAATACAAAAAATTAGTTTTTAAGAATCTGCATTAGCTAAAAAATTCCACAAAAAACGAGTTCACTACCTTTTTTAGCTTTGGCAATACCAGTTTACCTACACTTTGTGAACAGCATGCATTGGCTTTTTTGCAGACATGTAGGATTTCAAATGCCAATTAATTGTGAATATACCTTGTCCACTTGTGCATCCATACATATCTTGGTAGTATGCCAAATATATTGAGCCATTTCACTTAAATCTGCATAAGAACAACACATGAAATTTACAACTCCTGGTATTTCCATGTCTTTGCTAAATAATGATCAACATATGTTAAAGGATTCCACTATACTTGGCTACTGGTACCCTTCAAATGTCAAAGTGGCTTATATCTTGATCCTGGGAGTAAAAAAGCAGTACAGAAGAATTGGAATAGGTATTATTTTCTTCAATCAACTTAAAGTAGACAAATTGATCATCTTAAATAATTTAATGGTTTCTTCTATTTCAAATCTTTCTCAAAAAGGTGTAATATAAAGATCTTCAAATTTGCAACACATGCAGTAAGCAATGGATTTCATTTTATACAGGAAGCCAACAAAATACAAGAATTATTTCTAGTCCAAATCTTGTATTACAAAAAACTCTGAATATTCACTGTGCCAGAAATTTCAGATATTGCATTAATTAAGATTTATCACAAAATTTTTGCAATAAGATAAAACAAGGTTATATCACTCAATGGACTTGAAACTCAGTTTTAAATGAGAAATTATCCTTACAATCTTTCATTTAGATTATGTTTTTTCTACTTTTCCAGCTTCATTGCTACTGGACAACTTTGTGTCACAATTGAGAACGGAGGAAAATCAGTATTGTAAAGCAGTATACTTACATGTTCTTCCTACAAACACAGCAGCAATAAGCTTCTATGAAAAGCAAAACTTTAAATTCCACAGAGTTCTTTGGAATTATTACAATATAAATGATAGAAAAATGGATGGATATTGTTATGCAATGTACCTGAATGGAGGTGAACCACCATGGACCGTTCTGTATCCTTTCAGCCCATATTTTCCTTGATATAATTGATTAGTTGTTGCAAAACAGCCCTCATATAATAAAATTTCTTTTGCAATATGGTTTCCTTGCAAATTCATTATTAAGCACAAAGTGAAATATATGATCCATATGTAAAAACTTTGTATGGACAGAAAAAAGCTTTGATGCCTTCTATGGGATTGAACATGTATCCTGCTACTATGGATAATCTGTGTAGCTAATGAACTGCAAAGTCAACACTGCCTTTTCATGATTCACTACTTTCAAGGGTTACTCCTGTTTATCATTGTTGGTAAATATTCAAACTGAAAAAGGCTAGAGCAAAATAAATTTGTGTCTAAAATGAAAAAGGCTAGAGCAAGGTAACGCATATCACCTTCTTTAAAAACCTTTGGAATGCAGCATGCATAACACAACAAGCACAAACCACAAAATAGGGACTATTGGACATAAACATGTTTGTGGGTGGATGAGCAAAAAGCTATCAACTGCCCCTAATTTCAGTTTTACAAGATGCAATTCTGCTGTATTATTTTTGTAGGCTGGGGGTAATCGATTATACTAAATTGCACCATGAGATGCAATGTATCTGCAAAGGCTTGATGTTTATAAAAACTTTCAATAGCTGTAACATCTAAGAAGCCACAAAAAATAACATCAAATTAAATATGTTATAACCTTGGCTTGTTATATATGTGCCAACTTATAATAAACAAATTATTTCTTAACAAATCTACCAGAGATTTTGCCAAGAATTTCTCCCGCTGCTTTTGTGATAAAAGAAGACTGTTTGCTCCATTTAGGTTTGTTTTGAAACTATTCTTAATGTTATATATGTATATGCAGTGTTATTCAAATAGAGTATGGAACCTTTGAAAAAGTACATGAAACAATATTATATTGCAACTTGTCTTTGTTTTAATTTTATAAAACCACAAATCATGTCTGCTTTACAATGAGTTAATGTATTAAAGATTTCCAATTCAGTTATAATGATTCTTTAGTTTCTACACAACTTTCAAAGAAACAACTCATAGAAACAGTTTAAGGTATTGGGTCATGGTATAAAGACTTCCCCTACATATGTTCATCTGCTTTGGCATGATCATTAGAATTCGATACAATCACCAGTCATTTTATATACCGGGTCCTTGACCAAGCGTATGTAAATTTGATCCTTATAGCAATTGTTGTGTTTTTATAACAGAATATTTGGGGATATTCCACATTTATGCCATTCTTCTATGCCTCTATCTGGTTGCATCTTCTGTAGCAAAGTTGCCTGAAAATATTTTATGTTTATACTCTGAAAAGTGTCATATGTGCTTCAGTATCAAATATTTCCACTATTTCATGCCATATTCAAATTTTGTAGTACCAAAAACTTATTTGAAATACTTTTATAATGCAAAAGTAGGTAGGCTTTACAATATCAAAACAATGGAGGTCTGTGGTGCTACAAAGTCAGGCATTTTCTCCCTAACACTATTTTCATGTCATTTGTGCCAGCCCCTGCTATGACAAGCCCCAACCCTATAGGGCCTTTAAAATTTGCTCATGAAGCAAAATTTTGTTCTGAGACTGGTCACTGTTTCCAAATCCAATCTCTTTTCTGAAGTTTTCTAAGTTTAAATGATCATTTCTTAGGCTATATCAGCATACTTGATCCATACTATACAATACCTGATCCTATAACTAACTGTTATCTATCTACTAACTCTAAAAATGAAAGCTTTAATTCTTTATAAAGCAACTAATTCTTCAAAAGCTGTAAAATTTTCACCTCACTCATTGTTTTTTGTTAGTTGTTAAATTGCTAGTATTTATTTGTTTGATGATTTTTTTAAATGAATGTTTTGTGAATAAAATGTTCTGAAGTTGAATATTTGTGCTGTATTACTTCCCATTTTTCACTTCTGAAGCAGAGAATAGATTTGTGGCATAAGCAAATCTTTGGAAATGGATACTAATCATGATTATATTTTCACAGAAAAAAGGGGGTAATATTTTACAGCATAAAATAGCCTAAAAAAGTTCTTTGCATGCAGAAAGAGTTTTCAAAACAAATTAAAACATTATTCTGAAAATTCTAAGACAAATACATTTGCTTTGAAAGTCACCAAAATGCATTTCATCCTTTTAAACTACTGCTAAATTTTCTCTAGAGTGCCACAAAACTTTGACAGATGATGATGTTGACTAGCCTTTTCACATGTCTGTCAAAAATTACATAAACTTCAAAAGATTGGCAACTGCAGTACTGCATTGATTGCCATTTTTAGTGTTCCTACAGTTGTGTGACAGTCATTGAATGGAAATTTTGTTAGATAATCATGTCTTTACTTGAAAGAAACCCACGCAGTCTCTTGCATTCCTTATAGCTGATTTCACCTCTTCACTTGGTCTTGTTTTCTTGTCTCGTTGTAGTCTAAAAGCAGAGAGAGATAAAAAAAATTTCAGTATATCTTAACTTCTCTCACTTTAATGAAACATAATTTAATAAATATCATTTCCAGAAATTGGGATAATATAATAAAAATTCCCTTACAAAGTGGTAAAAAATATATAAGCATTTATTCTAAAGCACTGTTCAATTATAAACAAGTTCAATAAAAAAAATTGCAAAACTCATACGGGCTAAAATTTGAAGTGAAAAGTTGGTAAATTTTAGCTGAAATTAAATTTTTGGCTTACATTTCCAGCTGCAATGATAACCCTTTTTATAATCTTAAAATTGCTTTTAGAGTCTTATTTTCTTTGCTTTATGCATCAGTTATATATCTAAGAATGGCATTAGTCATAAAGAATTATCATAAGAAGTTAGTAAGTTATCATTGTCTTAATTCATATTTAGATTGAAAAGTTTACCTTGAGAGAAATAATTTCCAGACATAATGTTAGATCATTTCAACAACAAACACTGCAAATCTGGATTTAAGGTACTAAGCAGCATCAATATCAAGACAAAACTCTTATAAATAAAGTGTCCAATAAATAACCTTTGAAAATGGTTGGATAGAAATCCACTGCCAAATAATAGAACAATCAGCGTGTTTTCTGGAGCACTTTCTATAACTGTACCCAAATTTCTATCTAGGTTTGACAGGGTCTCCTAGGAAACAAATATAGTAATTGGAATACACCTTCAACAGAAAGTCAATAATTCCAGAATTATTTGTGCAAATAAAATAAACATTTAACATGTCACTTTTTACTTGAGTAAGTACTTCACACACAGTTAGGGAAAAACTGCAGTATAATCTAAAGGATGGGAGGAGAGTTGATTGCTTAACAGGCAAGATTGTCCAATTAACTTTTCAGTTTGATGAAAAAATTGCAAATGATATGTATAACTTCCCCTTTAAAGCCACACTGTGGTGCATCATCTGCACTTTTTCAGTTCTTGTTTGACTCTTCTAGTCGTTTGATAAAGTTTTTTGAAAAGCTTGCAAAACACAGGGGAAGATAATGGAAAGGAAAAAACTAAAAATAATATTTTCCTATTAACAGAGCTGATGAAGATCTGTGAAATTCATAAAGAGTACTTTCAAGTACATTCTATATAAAATTTTGAACTAAAATCACTACCACCTTTACTTTTTCACTTTCTGGTTTGTTCCCCATCGCATCATGTTCTAAAAAACAAGAATAAAAATTTTGTACAACGAAAAATTTTTTCTTTAGGCACGGGACACAGATTGGTCAACTATACCGGTCTTGTGCTTGTGTTTTTCTGATTGGCCTATTTTGATCCACAACTGGGTATATACTTTTCATCGTGTTCTTTCGAACCCTTATTCTTACGTTTTATGCTCTGAGAAGTGTCAGACAAAAAAGCTTTTAGCAAATATGTTGCAAAATTTTTGCTTTTTTGAAGCCATTTTAAAAATTAAATGTTGCAAGACCAACAGGGAAACGTAAGCTTGAAGTTGGCCTCATCATTCATCAGTCATAAAATCAATTTGATGTTATCGCTCTGAGGACTGTTAGCTTTCACTTTAAAGAGTGTGGTGTTTCGAAATGACCAGACATAGTATGAAGAAAAGAAAGCCATCCAGACTGTAGAACTTGAAAATCGCAGAACTTGTGTTGCATACGAGAAAAGGGGATTCGCTTAACAAAGCTGAATCTTGTACGGATAAGCCTTCTGTTTACACGGGAACGCTGAGAATCGATCGGCTATTGGTATGGGATCGATCAAGTTTGGGATCCATCCCAAATTGGCACTGATACTGAGATAGGAAACGAGGCCAATGTACTGTACAATTCGAGGTGCTTTGAACATGGTGCTTTAACCTTATTTGTCAGATTTTGCGCACCTTCTTCGTCCGCATAATGAAAAAATTTGAGGAAGTTTTATAATATTTACGCTTTTTTAGTAAAATTTAGCGAACAGAACTTATGATAATAATTTGCTTTGTTCTCCAGTGTGATCTTCACGAATAGGGCCGTTTCTTCATCGCTCGTAGTAGGCATTTTTTTGTTAATTTTCAAATTTGACGCCATTTTCTTTTCAATCTGCCTTCAAGTTGATGGCATAAGCGATACGAACGAACATTTCTTTCAGAAGGGCCTAAAAAGCAATGCGATCCGATCTGGGATCGATCCCGTGTAAACACAGTATATTTTGGGATCGATCCCGTGTAAACGTCTGCAAAAATTTGAGATGGATCCAAAATTGGATCAGCCTCATTTCCTCCGGGTAAATAGGGTCTCATTTCCTCTGTCATTTAGAAAATTCACTGAAAATGATTCAGATCAAGAGTGTGATGAATTTCTAAGTCTTTAGGAAATGTTATGTTTAAGGTTGCACAGACCTATAAAGCACAGACTTAAAGCTTTCACAAACTCAGACTTTAGAAAATAGTTAGAACCGCCCAGTTCTATACATCAAAAGAGAAAGTTGAAATACCTTTAAGAAGTCTTTCAAAATCTTTGAAGTGAGCGAAAACGAAGTCTGAATCTTGTACTGATTTTCTTGCGCCATTGACAACCTGATGACAATGACAAGCAATTATTACACGAAGGAAGCTCGGAATTTTTTATTGGAAGCTCCGTGAATAAGGAACTGACCAAATTGATAGAAAGCGAATGCAGACCAAGTTCAACTCTACATGAATGGTACTAACCTACTTAAGAAATCGCGCATTATTCCACCCCAGGCTAAACGACACATTTTTGGAGAATTATTTAGTATTTGAAGTTAATGTCTTAAATTGAAAATAGAGTCCTTATGCAAATGAATCAAGTCTCGATTTGCGGATCATTTAATAAGTAACATGAAAAGACTCAAAAGAATTTGCCTTGAAAAACTCTTAAGATAGACCTGCTTAGATGAGGAATTGTAAAAATTACTGCATCGTCATCAATGCCATACCTGGTCATCTGAGGTACAAAGAATAGCTTTAGTGTTGCCAAAGCAGTGTTGCCTAGCAATACTGGGAGTATCAACCACAGCACCTGAAAAGGGTAAGAAACATATAGTTTAATACTGCATAACATAAGTACATCTGTGTTTCAAATGAGCACCTCCATGTGCCACCTCCATGTGCCACCTCCAATGCCAAAGCAGTGTTGCTTGCAACATTCCACGAAATTGCGGAAACATGTCATGCTAAAGTACATTAGCTAGTAAAAGTGTTCAAGAGAGAAAACGAACTCTTGAAGAGTCTCGCGAGAAAAATGTGCGAGTTACAAATTTTCAATTTTCTGATTGTCCGCTTACCTTCGCACACGATCCGAAGTTTATACTCTGAGGAGTGTTGGACAAAAAAATATTTTGATGTGATATGTTTCCGCTCATCCGTGCTATTTTCTAATTTTGCTATACCAAAGGCTAATTTTATAAATAAAATTTAATCCTGAATAATTTAAATAGTAAAGACCATAGCAAGTTTAATTAAAACATGACTTAGACTAACCATAAGCAAAAGAGCATTATTAGATACTGCAACACAAACAGAATCCCATCAATTGAACATTCACAATTGAGCGACTTCAAGATACTTCATACCTATCACAGTTTATAAGACTTCAAAAATTGAAAAACGTGACTCACATTTCTTTTCTGCCCTTTCGAAAGCCTCAAATATGCTGAAAGAAGTGATATTTAGTGAACGAAGTGAACTTAAAGAAGTTTTATAAACATATCAAGAATGAATTGTCGGGTCAATCAAAATAGAGGGAGTTTCCTTTTCTAAACCAAAGCTGGCTAAATAGACTGTGCAAAATTCTAGATTTGGGATGAAAAGAGGAAAAAATTAATATCTGTTAGAATAAAGAGAAAATAATCAGGTACCTTTCTTTGAAGTTTTCAAATATTCCAAAATTTATGCCTGTAGATAAAGAATTTCTTTATTAATGTAACAGAAATAATTAATGGAAATGGTACAATAACGGACTGTTGCTTTTTAACATGTTGGTGATTTGTGATACTCAAGAAAAGAGAAGTGAGTGAGTTTGTAGGAAGTTGCCATGCAGCATTGCGAAGTACAACATGTTTTATCTATCCATCGTTAAGATAATATAGAGGCTTTGGAAACAAGTTTTGCCACCTCAATTATCGAGCAATCATCAGCAATGGTGGCCTAAAATAGGTTTTTTGAAAATTTCAAAGGCATCAACTGTGCAAAAAACAGGGAAAATGGCTTGCGATAAAAACCATCTCAATTGACAATTGCCGAGGATAACTGTCTTCTATAATTTTGGATTGAAAGCATTGAACCAGTTTATTGTACGGTATTATGTGAGCAACCAATCTTATGACAAGCTGAAACAAGTTCTTTAACTATGAGCAGATGGTTTTTATGCCGAAATAAAAGAAGAAATTTATACTAAAATTATGTATTATATTCGTGCCAAAAAATTAAAATACATTTTATGCCTAAATTGAAGAAGATATTTTCGTTAGGCATTATTTTCATGCCATAACTCTAGATGATTTTTGTACTGAGAATAAAGAATAAATTTATACCAAAATTAAGCATTATTTCTGCCAAACTTTACTTTAAAATTTTATTCCAAGATCTAAAATTTATACCAAACTTGGGTATTATATTCATGCAAAAATTAAAGAGGATATTTGTACAGAACTTGATAAAAAAATCATACCCTTCTCAAGTTTCAAGTGAAGCAACTGCATGCAAGCTTTGGCATCTTCAATTGAGCAATGACCATTTTCGTTATTTTGTATTTCCCTCCTAAAAATCGCGAATAATAATTTAGTAAGTTGGTCACAGATTTACAGACTGCTTTTAGATGAATCATAAACAATATGAAAACAATGCCAACAACAGTAGTGCGCAAGGAATGAAAGAGTGTTGTTCTTTCAGAGAATCATATCGACATGTGCAAATATCATTGGCTTGGAAAAGTAAAAAAGACAATATCATTACTTTGAAAGAAATTGTATTCAAAATGTTTTCACTCTTTAAAAATATCAAAACATCGTATCTAGATGTATGTTGAAAATAAAAATAAAGGATGGATTTGTTCTCTAGATATAGTTGTAAGTGCAGCCCTACTACGCAACAAATTTTTTTGCATAGAAAATTTCACAAAATTAGACTTAAATGATGCAGATACCTAGCCTGCATGCAAACTTTACTACCCGTTGCGTGGCTCTCCTTCGCAACGGATAGCAAATTCTGCACGCAGGCTAGCAGATACCCCGAGTCTTCTATAAATCAAAGAAAAACACAAATCAAAGATAGCACATAGAAGAATTACTAGGCGAAGCTGTTTCTTACTGTTAATTGTTCATACTAATATATTATTCTTTTAGGCAAAGTTCAAAAACTAATTCAATGTAGTTTGTTTCATCCCTACCGAAGATGCGATTTGACCAGGCTTTTTAATGAAGGCTTGAATCTAGCTCCTCTTTGATCTCCATAAATAATAGAAGTGTCAATGTAATTACTGTGAAATATCTAAAAAAAACAAGGAAGTGAAAGTTCGAAAGGCCATTAATCTAAGATTAATTACGTAAAAATCAAAGAAGGCTTTCGCAAAGAAGTGGGAACAACCGCTTTGAAATCGGATGTGAAACTTATGGAAAAAGAAAGTTTATGAAAAATGCAGGACAGCTATCATTAAAATGGGAGAAATAATTGGGTGGAATGTTGAATCGTATGACTGGGGTTTATACAAAAGCTGAATCTTGCCAAGAACGAAAACCAAAAAATTCAGTCCTCTAGGTTGGTATAGCAGCAGCTGAGACTCTTTTGTTGCCCTCAATATGCTAAATTATGCTCTGATCACAATCATGATTGCCATCTAGAAAAAATACCCACCCCTCTCAGATATCTCTTCGCTTCTGTGTTTAAAAAATTAGACACATCCTGTTCTCGAATCTGTGATATGTTCAGGAATTTTTTCTCATATGATACTTATCTTTTAATCTGTATTCCAGATCACATTTATATGGTAGCTTGCGCACAGATTTTAAATATCTCAAACATGCTTACTACAGTTGAGTCTGCACACAGGCTACAAACAGTTCTCTTTGCTGAATTTAATCAAGTGCTTATAGCTTAGGTTTTCGGTTTTAGCTTAGGATTTATCTGATGGTTACACAAATCTGCAATTCCTATTTTGAAAGCTGAATGCCAGGATTGATGCTAAAAAGGGTTCCTTCCAAGGAAAACAAATTAATGCCAGTATAAGGAGTGGTTGAAAAAAATATCAAATATCCTAGAGGAAATATCTACAAAAAAGCATGCTCTGGAATCAATATATGGACTTACTTTGAGAGCTCTCATATCATTGTCTAAAGAATGTCCAACAATAATATCATTTTGCGAAATGATCTCCAAAAGCCTTTGTTGAACGTCTCCTAATGTCGTGTTTTCATTTGCCAGAATTTCTGGTGTAATACCACTGTACCTGTTTTTGAAATGAAAATACTTGAACAGCAAAGATTTGGTTTTTGATACTTACCTAGTTACCGTGACATTACACCCTTCCTTTAAATTCACATCCAGTGATTCTCGGCAATGATAAATAGTTATATTTTCATTATATTTAAATCAATACTTATATTATATTTAATAATAATAATAATAATAATAATAATAATAATAATAATAATAATAATAATAATAATGGAAACTTTTCATTTTCAATTCAATTAAAACTACAATTACAAATTTCACTATTACAAAGGTAATTTGCAATTGGCTAGCCTGGGTTTACAAAGAAAAAGACTATTACAAGCACAAACAAAAGAAATTAACAAAAAAAAGGGAAAAAGTATGTTCGTCATTGTTTGTTTTAGAAGTCGTCAGTAGCAGAGATCGTTAGAACTGAAGAAGTTCAGGATTATTCCAAGATTTATTTCTGCGGCAGAAAATGTAATAGGTAGTACGGATAGTTAAGTTGGATAGTTTGGAGATCATGAAGCGGAGATGATTCTCGCTGATATCTAGAGCGTTGCACATGTCGATGAAAGAGGAGCAAGAGAGACCAAAGATACCTAGGGAACTGATAGAAAGATTAACAAACATGATAGAGGAATAGGCTGAGCTTAGGCTGTGAATGAGATTCGAGTATTTCTCTCTTTTGCGGTTAGCATTAACATCCAAGTTAGTTTCATATCCTACTGTAAGCTCGAGTATGAATAGTCGATGGTCAGAAGTGACTAGAAGTAGATCAGGACGGAAAGAGTCTCCTGTTATGATAGAGGGTGAGAGATAACCTGAAAGATCTGCGTAAAGAGAGCAATTAGGTATAGCTTTTAAAGATTGTGCTAGGAAGTTCAATGCAGAGTTATGGCGCCATGTGTAACGGCCTTCTTCGAGGTATGTTTTGCAGCCTGCAACAATGTGAAGTAACGTTTCTGGCATATGGCAAAAAGAGCAATCGGACGACTGAGTAATGTTCCATTTAGATAGGTTTTTTCGCGTGGCAAGGGAGTTGCTAAGATATTTGATAGTAAAACTGTAAATGTTCTTGGGCATGTTGCTTTGAACCGTGGTCCATATTTTAGAGGCTATAGGAAGAGAGTGGTCAAAGATGAAGGAAAGAACGGTACCTTGAGATACAAGATGGTTTTGAAGGCGCTCTTTATGTTCTGATCTAACAGCCTTCAATACTTCTCTAGTATTCCTGTAAACATCATATTGGATGTTCATGCTCTGGCTGGTATTTTTCCACAAAGATTGGATGTTTTTGTTGGGAGAGGATTTCAGTGCATTACGACAAACAGTTTGACACTGCATGAATTTAACAGAAGGAAGAATCAAGTTAAGACCGAACTGGTTTTTTGACAGAATAATGCCACTTAAAGTAGCACTTATGGGTAAATCGAGCCAACGGCGGATAAATGCAGAAACTTGATTATCAAGGTTTTCGACGATCCAGGTTTTTGATAGATCGGCTACTGTGAGGTGCCACGAAACTTGTGAGAGAAGATAGCTGTTATAAAGAAGCAGCTTATTCTTTGGATGGAGAGGTAAAGAATCAATTTGCGTTAGGAGTTCTGTGAAGATGGAGCTGAGCTTAGACATATGTTCTTGGTTGCTCATATTAAGGTCGAAGTGACGCCCAAGATACTTAAAAGACTCTCCAGTTATGACAGGAGGGACCATTTCATTATTGATGAAGAGCTTTGGCTGATATTGTAGGGAGCGTGTTGAGAATTTTTTAATACCAAAGGTTGTGCATTTGTCTACTCTTATAATCATGTTAGACCATTGACACCATCTTGTAAAGCAGTTTAAGAGTAGCTGGTTTTCTTTCTCCCCATTTGTAATGACTGCAGCATCGTCTGCGAACTGAAACCAGTGCTCTGGGGTAAACATACAGTCTGGTTGGCTATGGGGAGAGAAACCAAGTTGTTTGAATTTTTCTGCCTTTATGTATTGAATGAAAGTGTTAAAGCACATGTTAAATAGAAGGGGACTTAGGCAATCACCTTGAAGAACTCCACGTTTAACAGGAATAGCAGGGGTAACAAATTTATCTGTGATAATAGAGGTTTTAAAATTTATGTAGAGACTAGAAATCAGGGACTGGATGTTTTCTGGTACGTGGTGATAAGACAGAACAGATTTGATTAGATTTTGATGAACCTCTCCGAAGGCATTTTTTAGATCCAATAATGTTATGACTAGAGACCGTTGTTTTATTCGAGCTTTGTCTATTATATGGCTCATCATCGCAGTATGTTCGAGTGTACCGATATCTGATGGGTAAAACCTTTTTGAATCTGATGTTCTATGAAATTATTTTGTTTGAGAAAATCAAATGCAGAATCTCGGAGGCAAGATGTGAAGATTTTAGCGGGACCGATTGGAGAGTGATAGGTCTGAAGTTTGAGGGATCCTCTGTATCTCCTTTTTTGTGTATTAATATAGTGCAAGCTTTTTTCCATTCCGATGGGACATGTCCAGATAACCAGATTAAGCGAATCAAATCAGTTAAGAAAGAGCGAAGATAATAATAATAATAATAATAATAATAACATTAAGAAAAACAATAATGGTCAACCATGATTTATGATAATTGATCATTATTATTATTATTATTATGACTGTGAATTCTGTTTTCTTCCAGAAACACTTCTACACGTTGTTGCTGGATGCAAAGTGTACCTTGACCAAGGACGCTATACTTGGCGTCATAATTCTGCATTAAACTTTCTAGCCACTTCCTTCCAAGCAATAAATGGGTCTTCTCTCTACGCAGATTTACCAGGCTTTCTTTCCCCTTCTATCATAACTGGAGATCAACTACGCCCTGACTTACTTCTCAAAACTAAGGAAAACTGTCTGTACGTTATAGAGCTAACCATAGGCTTTGAAACAAATCTCAACTGCAATGCTGTCAGAAAGTCAGGGAAATATGCCACCCTCGTATCTGACTTAAAACGTCAGTTTAAGTCAGTCTCGTTTGTCAATCTTTCCATCAGTTCACTTGGTATTTTGGCGACTCCTGCAGCTCATTCATCGACATGTGTGACTCTTTGTCCATTGATCATCAACAGAAACGCTACCTCATCTCCAAACTTACAAGCATCTCCATTCGCACCACATACTATATATTCTGCTGTAGAAAAAAACTTGGACTAATCCAGAGCTACACCCCTTTTAACAATTTTTTTTTCTCATTACTACGATGTAATAGTTTTTATTTTGTAAACACAGGCTAGCCAGTTACAAATTACCTTGTAATAGTGAGATTTATAATTGTAGTTTTAACAGGAATTCAAAATGAAAAGTTTCCATTATTATTATCATGAAGATGATGACGATTGATTATCATTATTATCATTATGTTGATAAAGATAAATGCTGGGAGTCATCATCATCATCATCTTTCACGCATCTAGCCATCTGCAGCATTACTAATAGCAACTAACGCGAGAATTATCTCCAAAAATATAAAAAAACACAACCTTAGACAAAAGTCAATAAATGAAAGATTGTTTGGACTGGCGGCACGAGGTATCTTGAGCTTTTTATAATCGAAAGACCTATAGAACGCATTTTCGAGGACCACAGTTGTTTTAAATATTTTATAAGAATATTTGTGCTGTTTTTGTATGGCAGGCATTTGGTTTTTGTATCAGGGCTTTTTTTAACATACTAACTGCGGGCAACGATCTTTGCTGCAGGGGCATTCGCCCTACCATCCTTCGACTTTGCCCTCGCACTCAAGAGATTTTTGACCCCAGAAAATAGTCCCTTGTTTGTCGCCACCACAACGTAGAATTGTGAGGCACACCTGCAAGAGCCATAAGTAATAGAAAAGGATTGGAATACGATATCATAAGTGTTTACATGGCAGTAATTTCATAAGTCAACATGGGAGACTTTTATGCAGTCGAAAACTAAAAAATTGAAGGAAATTAGGGGATCAAAACTAAATGAAGATGCATATTGGCACCCTTTAATATAGGACTCGAATCTTTAAAAAATAAGGCCCTAAAAACTACTGTTTAATTCCTTTATCACTGTGGTCATTCATTTCAGATTAGTTAAAGCAAAAAAATGTAAGGACTATAAAATACTTGTGATCACAAACTGAGTCATCAGTTCCATGCCACAGAAGTAGATAAAGATAAAGAAGGACCAACTTAAGGCTCAAATGGAATCTCTTTAACAACAAACCACATCCACATCAAACAAAGGAATACAGAACATATCTGAAATATAATTTCCTTTTATATTTCAAGATACGATTTGATCTTGTTTGGGGATAAATTGTTATCATTGAAAAATGATTACGAATCCCTTTTAGAAGAAAACGATCTTCGACATTACGGAAAGCGAATTGCTGATTGTGCAAAAAAGATAGCTCTCCGTTATCATCTGGAAGAGCACTTCAAAAATTATTTCCAATCTTGAAGAAAGTTCATAACAGATCTTGAAGAATTTTATAAAATGATACCATCTTTATACAGACATTAAAGGGGAACTGAAGTGAAAAATGAAAATCAATTATTTAGTAGTTTTCATCGTGCTGATTTCGAATATCGACACGAAATTAGTGTTTTTCTTTTGGTTTTCCTGCATTCACCACGCGAAGTGTGAAATTTCTCCATTTCGGTGGCGGAGAGGTCTGGAGACAAGTTTCAGGCGCTGACGTAAAGTCGTGGACACGTGCCCCGATCGCAACGAAAACAACATTGTAGTAGGTAGTAGAGTGAATCGGAGGGAGGGAATTCGGTTAGTGGTTAGAATTTCAGTTCGCAATTTTCACGACAGCTCTTCAGGAATGACAACAGACTTAAGATCGAGCGACGATGAATTTGGAGCATGTGGTGGTGAAGTACTTGCCCTACCAAGGGCGAACGGGAACTGCGAAAGTGGCGATGAAGATTAGCCTAGGCCCGATGAGATCCCAGAGGCTGAGGATGAATTATCTCCCGCGACGTGCTCGTT